TTGTGCTTTTTTTAAGTTTGTAAGGAGTATTCTAAACATGGAATACAAATTGAAGCAGAAAGACTTGCAGTGCACTTGGTTCGAGGGAGATTTAAATGTTGTACTGTCCCCCGTGTGGATGTTACATGTACATTGCCTGAACTTGCCCGATAATTTTGGTCATTTTCATTCAATTTTGGCCATTTTTACCACAGGAATCCTATCACAGACCACATACATTTGTCGGAAGCTCCCATGTCAATGTAATCCACACATTTTGTTGTACAGGTAATTGGCTCTATGAAATCATACTTTGGGCAAGGACCTAATCTGATGGCAAGGCCAACATATTTTAAGGCTTAGAGTCTGGCACGTACATCTACACATTTTGGCAAGTGGCAGTGAGAACCACCCACGGCCGTGATCTGCCTGATCGGTTTGGCTTTGCGACAACGCCCAGGAGCAGCCAGATCATGCCCCTCAAGCATTGAAAAAGAAAAGCCCCAAGGAAAGGGCCGTGATTGCCTGAAAATGTCAGGTGGGGATCCTTGATGCACAAGCTTGTGAACACTCAAATACGTGTACTGTACTGGTACATCGACTGGATGACGTGACGAGCGTGCACTGATTAAATGCCCTTTGGTGTGAGCACGGCTATCAGATGGAATGTGGAGGCAGATAGAAGTTTGCCCTGCAAGGACTTAAAATAAATTCCCTGCAAAATGCAAAAACTGTGGCAGAAGAGCAACACTCTACAGTATGTACATTGTACACAGAGAGTCATATCAGGTTTGGAGGGTACACACACCTCTCTCTCTCTCTAATTAAGAACTGTGTAGGTGACAAAAACGTGCAAAATTACTGGTCTTAACGCTTCCAAAGAGACAAACAGCACTGTGTACATAGAATTAGCCACAGCCGTTAGTCTTTTTGCTTCTCTTGAGTGTATATTGTACATCCAAAACAGACCACGTCAAAGGTGAGTTAAATACAATACACCTCAAACTGCGTGTGCTCATCTTCCTATGATGACATTATCGAGGGATATATTACACAACTGTTTAAAATAAATCAAGTCAAAAAGTCAATCAGCCTCTGTCAGCAGTTTTCCGCGGACCCGATTGAAGGTGAACAGCACACTTGGCGGTGCTTCAGAAGTCATGATGGCTTAGTCATGATGAGATGATACATGTACAACTGCCCATAACTTTCCATACAGTTCTTGCCTTTACATGTGGGTACATGTACATGTAATACCCACATGTATGAATTTTACGGCACTGTTCCTAAGTCTTACAGTCAGTTGTACATGTACATGTAGGTGTGCGGCTCCATGCAAGCACTGCGTCCCGATTATCTGCAATTGTTTCCCTCAAAAACTGGCCATTGAAAAAGCATGCTGGGTCATGAATATGCAGACCATCCTTAGTCATGAATATGCATGAAGTGTAGTCCCCTCCAGCTTGGGCCCCCCGACAAATTTACCGGACCACCATCCGAGATGCTGATTTTTGTCCATGTACACATTTCAGATATGCATCGAGATGTGAAGTGAGTTTTCGTCTCGTTCTGTCCTGCAGTAAACCCTGGAGCAGGGAAATTAAAACACGACTCCTATGGAGCAAACGCTTCAAATCAAACACGCTATCAGATTGCGACACCGTTCTGTCCACACTTGTTGATTGTTTGGCAACCGCGCTGATGCAGACCATGAACGGAATGTCGGTAAGGTAGGATGACTCGAGACAAGCGCGTAGGAGGACAGGCAATATATTTCTGCCTTCGCTAGTTTAATAACACTTTCCACCCAGGAAGGAATGAAGGCAAAAGCAGCAACGATGTAGGTCTAAAGATATTGAATGGCTTGCGTCAATATACATTTGTACACCTTGTGGATGTGTAAATTAGGTTTCAAAAAGCACATAAATAAGGGTTTTAAGTCTCCAAAAGAATTTCTTTTACACAAAGATTTCTTCAGGATTCTTGAATGAAAAATACTCGAGTCTCCCTGGAGCCTGAGAGACATTTTTTTTTTGTTTCACATAATTATTAGCATCGGTCACATTTGCACATAACTGTATCCCTGAGGTAATCATGTACATGTACATCTTAGGAACTGTATCAGGACAGTACACATGTACGTATGACACCGTGCACATGTACCGGTATTTGGGCCTGTGGACAACCCATGGTCACATCTCGATTGAGGCCTCCAATAATTTATTGGGACTTTCCCTACTGATTTAGATTTTTGGTTGCAATGCGCGAAGTGGAACCAACTGGGTCTTTTTTAAATCCGATTCTTCCTCTTTATGAAGGAAATGCACCCTAGCTAGCCCTCCTATGCTTAAGTCACTCTTTGGGTCACTTGGTAAACACCTCAAAGAAGCACAGCTGTGTCCTGTTGTGCACTGCACCAACATGCAAGAGAGTGACCTTGGGCACTTGTGCATATTTGTGCTGTAAAACCAAAGGAGGGGTAGCTAGTGCTATGCATGTATGGTACATTGCAATTGAAATGTAACGCTGTGAGCTGGGATGGCAAATTTTGTGAAAAGAATTCATTTTCATGTTCACAAGGCATGAAAGTGAATTTCTACTTGTGGGAATACATGTTATCTGTGAAAACCTTTTCCCACTTTGGGAAAAGTTTTTCACCAGTTTGAAATGAAAAGGAATTCTGTGGGGAGAGGAAAAGTGTGAAAAGCTTTCCCCATGTACGGGTCAACTTTCAAATGCAACTCTCCTGTTACAATTTAATGCAAAGGAAAAGAAGTTACAAATGCCTGCACTAGAAGTACCGTCAACGGAAACAATCAAAGAGTGTCAAAACAGCACAGATGGCGGTGTGTAAACAGTTTGAGGAAACGACATACGAAAGGCACATGGTTCACCCTTGTACAGAATGACGGACACAAATGGACAGCGCGGTTTGAGGAGAAACAATGGAAAATCACTTGAAATGCTGGTAACGACTCTGTGAGTACATAAGGGTGGTGGAAAAGCTGCCGGAGAGCTTTGGATCTCTGCCAAGTCAAAGGAAACAATATCCTCCATGCCAAGTTACAATGTACAGCATCTCTTCCTCAAATAACCTGGTACTTTTCCAGCACAGTACATGTATGCAGTCACCGGTACACGTACATGTACGCCTCTCTTCTGGGAAGAAATGTTGCCTTTGCACATGTGATACCAGGACAAGTTATTTGATATCCCAATAACATACTTTGCCAAACCAAGTCGAGGGCCTACTCACTGAAACTTTTAAACAGCCAATTCCAACAGATGTGCATGTAAGTGTACAAAACACTTTATCTTTAGTGAGTCCATATCTAACATGAGTCCTTGGATCCTGACTGGTCGATCTGTGGAACCTGACCTGGCAGTGTTACAAATGTACCCATGTACCACCTGTATCATAATAGGGTCCATCATACTCCATCTGTTGCACTTTTCCAGGGGTAGGTAAATTTACTAGTACATGGGTAATTCCAGAAAATGGACATTTTTGTGTCCCTGTTACATCTGACCTTTGTTATTTGACATGGACGTACGTGTGTATCACCGAAATTGATTTTAAACTATTAATATTTGTTTGGCAGGTAATTTGCATTAATTCATCATGACTGGAAATTAGAAGGGTGTTCTGAACTTACAAAATCATATGTCAGACGTGACAGGAACATGAAAGAAATGGACCCCTAACTTGTAGATTTACCCACATGTACATGTAGGTATACAGCACGTGTACATGTATGTATCGCATCCCTTGTGCAAAACGGTGACAAAAGTCTGCTCAGGCCACTTTGAATTCAAAGTGACACGTGTGTGCCAAGTCCGCTTGCAGATAAATTTGTTATCCCAGTCATGATCACGAAACACGGGATTACACGTACATGTACTGGCAGAGACTGCGCGCAATGCTCCGTACCACTCAGCCTTTGGCTTCCTGGCATACAGGCATGCATCATTCCATGTGCCAGTCACGTCTGCGGGATAACCGCAGCGATAATACTGCTGCCAGGAGGCAGGATGAATGTGCAGTCGCAGGCAATTTCCTTAAAGATTCATCCATGCACCGTACATGTACTCATACTCGATACAACACAAACGCAAGCGTGGTCCCAAAATCAACACTGCTGGGCACACGAGGCAAAATTCATTAAAGTTGAAATGCGTTCAACATAAAGAAGTTACATCATGGGTGTTCTTTAACATTTTTTCAAATAGCTCCATCCGGCGACTGCAGTGTACTTAAGTGCAACCTCTTTCCCATCCTTGGGTAAGATCTTGCCACGCTATGGTGATTCCCATCATGCCTTTCGCGATCTTCTGAAGGAATGTACAGAAAGCCCATTGAGTCGAGGTTGACTTAAGTGACCTTACGAGGTCAGTGCCTACGAGTGCATTAGGAAGCAACCAGTACCGGGAGAGTGCATCTTTGACGTAGCACACCACGCAAATATTTGTTATCACATCACACTGCATGTCTGTTTGCTTCAATCGAAATGATTCATAAATTTATCTGCCAAGTTGTGAATGGTGACTATGGTAAAAAGATAAGGCAAAAAAGATGCGGCATACAATATTTGCACAAAATACCGGTAAATCTGGTTTGCTTTTGCAAACTTAACTTTTGACAATACGGAAGCACTTGTGCCCAGTAGATGAAATAAAAGTTAAGATATAAGGCCAAGGAAAATTATCAAACAGATTCTCGTCCCAGACCACTTCCTTTTTCCCCGCCTGTCCTTTTCCTCATTTCTGGTTAAATTTGCAACATCATTTGACATGCATGTACATTTTGTATCAATATAGCCTACCGAGTTATGTCATGTAGCTATAAATTTATGCAAGTTCAAACCAAAACTTATCTAGAAAAATGTTCCCTCCATGTTAGGAAAATAGCAATTTAAATAAAAACACGAAACTACTACTATTTTGCTAATTTTTTCAAGAAAGTTGGACGAGAATCCATTTTTGGTTTTGTTTGGCCGTACAATATTAAAATGGTCACTTACTGCTGCACTGGAATCCTTGCTTGCCAAAACCCCTGCAAGAAAGCAGCCATCAAAATGTGACATTACTACACAAACACACTTAAACTTATTAACATTTTCATATAAATATCTTAGCACTTAAGTCATATGCATGCAATAACCAAGCAGACAATTATAACAGTTGACAACCGCTGTTCAATATTAAATGACAAGAGCAAACGAAACGCAACAAGAATTACGATAGGAGAGCAATCAATTTAGGAAAATCAATTTTAAAGTTAATTACGCCTAATGCACTCTCTTATTTTCACAAAGCAGCAGCATTCCTTTTGTCTTTTCCTCTTTTTTTTAAAATTTTGCCTTATAAATGAACTCTCCCAGATGGAATTCCACAGACGAGTATAAAGGAACTTGATTTTTCAGACATTGAACTCAAACCGATACCCACAATGCAAGAAACCAACTATCCAACGCTTAATTCTGGCCGTCAGTTGTGACCATGCACCGAATTGGAATCTACAGTACAATGTAATCAACAGGACTCTGACGGTGACCCACTGCAGTCTGAAGCTGAGCGTGTTTAAGTGAGACTACTGGAGTCATTTCAGTTGAAATCATAGAATAACAACGCACTGCCATGCCATGCAGTTGTCTAAGTTACATGTACATGGTCAATTCTGGGTGGATGGTCGATGTTGCATGTAGCTCCCTGAGGTACATGTATTGGACGGTTGATAAACTACACGTACATTTAGTTCCTAAAGCAAAGCCGAGTGAATTACAGTAGTTTACTAACTTCCAATACCGAAAGGAGCTTACATCAACTACACCTGTACATGTATCCGCCCAAACTAAACCATGTTTCACATACATACACCACATACATATTTGGTTGCCAACACAGTTTTAGGCATGTACATGTACATGTATCATTCAAAATGCTGATCAACATGTTTGTCACCATCTTTTCATATGTATCTAGAGAAATGCTTGCACATATGCACAAGTGCACTTCACTCGGGTGACAGTTATGAGATACCGTACATGTGTGAAGATGGCTGTCCAAGAAGTACATGAGTAAACTGTTCCCCAGATGAAGCTGGTAGACAGTTTACCATGCATACATATTAGACTTGGGAGTGGCTCCTTGCATGCGCCCTCAAGAAGCAGAAATAGCCGCTGGCATAGTTTTTGGTGAATGGACCGGTGAAAATTTGCCTCTTGGTCATGAATATGTGTGAGGTTTGGTACCAGAACTGTAAAACGGACTGCTGGGTCGGGTGACATGGTTCCAGAATGCAGGGTGCCAAACCGTGTTCACTAATACGCACAGGATGCATTGCAAAGTGGACACACTATCTGGCAAACTTCCAATAACAGTGTGCCCCCAGAAGGGCATGGCCAATCAGATAGTGTGTACAGGTACATGGTACTGAGCGGACATTATTTCACGCAGGACACTTTTTGTCATGACACCGGCATTGCCTTTTTGTGATGTCAAAACTCTGACATTTTTAAAACCTGGGGCCCACTTGATGTCCCATAAAAGGGTCAAAGGCCAACTTTTCTTGTGGGAATCGACTTACTGTAAAATGTGCATGCTTGTTTCGGAAACTGTTCCATAAACTGGCACGTTCCATAACTTTAGAATGCAAAGAAGCCTAAAATCAATAAAATATAGCAGAGTCCCCCAAGTTACCTGGCACACTTTGACGTTTCCCTTGACTTCCTTCATGCAAAGTACAGTATATGTTGCCAAAACTCTTCACTGAAAAAATGTATCGGGACTATTACCCTCACAAATCTGTGCCAGACTTGGATCTTTGTGAACAATTTCAGTCTTGTGAAATTTAGTCAACCATTCAAAAACAGAGGAAATCGGGCACAAATCTCAGGAAAATCTAACGATAACACACAAGATATTTCTTAAAAGCTGGTACAGTACGTAGGCCTAAATTCTAAAAATCATTATTACTGTACCTCCACTCACATGCCAAACACGTTCGGGAGAAAAATAATTATTTTCTTATTTTGGGGCGCATTTTATAAGAGATCCTTGTGCAGGTCTAAAAACCAAAATACATGGTAAGGCCAAAGTAGAATTTTATTCGAACTTTGGGACAAGTACGTATCAGCTAGATTTCTAAACCCAAACATTGAAGGCTTGATGAAATTTTACTTTTTGTGAAATTTGAGGGGAAAATATTGCTCTGGCAAGGTACTGGAGGAGAAAAATCAAAGCGTGTTGCATTAGGGGCCACGTTATATAGGATACATCTAATCAACAACACACGGTCTACATCATGATACATGTATGTCAGGACATGTTCACTGGAATGTACATTTGGTAACCAAGAATTTTTTTACAAATGTTACAACTCGGGAAATTCAGTTTTAACCCTAACCGCCAAGCATATTGTTTGGCTTACAGTACTCAGTACTACAAAATACTAAGTAATAGCCTGAGCCTGAAGGACCGAGTGCTACAAATTACTAATTCTGGCTAGGTTACTTCCATTGTTACTCGTACAGAGAACAATAAAGCCATGCATTCATAGTGCCACAGCGCTGTATGGTACATTGTCTTTTCTATTGTATTTTATGGCTTCAGAGAACAATGCAGTCATGTCCTCTTACAAGCAGCAGCGCTGATTACTACATTTTACTACAAGTAGCAATTTGTAGTATTATGTAGGTTTAGGGTAAAGGAGAGTTCATTGGCTCCTGTTTATAAACAAATTCTGAAACAAGTTACCATGGTTACAGGTGATATTCAAATCAGCAAAAATAATGAACTTGCATGCATTCATACCGACAACTGACTGAGCTACATGTAGTGTTAAGCCTATCTCGTGTGTGCAATTATACTGGTAGGTCGTAAACTGTAAAACAGGAGTAAGGAACTGTGTGCCAGGGTTAAACTTTACTCTCAATGACGAAGCCACTAAAGGCTGAAACTGGCGTACAGGCCGTCCTACATTCACCATCTGCTTACTGCACTGTGGCAGCTTCTGACATGTCTCGAGTAGATTTTTGCTTGTGTTAGATACCAACATGACCAACTTGAAAAACGGTGGTGGGGCTGCAGCTAGGCCCCTTAATTGTACTTGTAGGCCTAGGCCAACATTAGTCAAGAGCTAGGCCCTAATTTTAATATTTAAAAAAAAATCGAACAAAACTGTTGAATACATCCAAAAACATGGCCTTGGCCTAGCCTGCCTAGGCTCACTAGTAAATAACACTACACGAGGTGCCATCAATTCAAATTCAGTTACGCTAGCTCTGCACGGTCTGCGATGGTATGGTATATATCTACGGTAGGCACCGAGCGCTCACCATATGAAATCCGTGCAGTGGCTGCAAAATGTCGGCTGCTTGAAAAACCGCGGGATGAACTTGTGGCTACGGACTTCGTGCACGACTTTCTGGCGCACGGCCCCCCGCCTGGCAAAACCCTTAGCCGGCCGGGAGACACCGTCGTCCCCGTAGGTGCTGGAACTTTTTGATGACATTTCCTCTCTTCGCCTCCCGGACCACTTGGAGAGGGGTGAAAAAATCCACCGCCGCCTGCTCGTGTAAATCCTATCGCACAATATATCGCGGGTATTCAGGATGCAATGAACATTTACGTACGAGTACACAAGCGCATGCAGCATGAACACATGCGATCTGAAAACGCCCTCGCAACGCGCGTACGCACATAAACACTGAGCTCCCCGAATGACAGCCAAACGGAAAGTGGTGAACATCACTTGCGATTTCCTACAACTGCGTCTAGAATAAACCAACCTCCACGCATAAACTGAAATTTAGCCAAACAATATCATAAAGCGGCCCTTAAAATGTAAAAAAAAAACAGGCTTCTGTAGAATAGCCACCTTCTTCTAGGGAACCTGGGTCATGTGGGTTGGCCCCCGGGGCGTGGCGGGGGTGATACAATGGACCGAAATAAAATGAAATTACTTTCTCATGGGAAAGGACAAGAAAACCACCTTCAGACAGAACGCCAGGATTTGATGTATTTTTCGTTTAGATTCCATCTCCATCTCATCCCCGCCCCTCTTGGGAGAAAAGCGCCTCGGAGTTGGCTCCAGAAAACAAACGAAAAACGACAGCGGTTAACCAGTGCAGCGCCCTCAATAATCTCGTCGCGGGGGGATAGGCACGGATAAGATTTTCCAGCTTCCTCTCCTCCTGAAATTGGACATTTCGTATCTTTTTCATCCACTGTCGTATAGTTTTTTAATTCCCCTATTTTCCAAAGCTTTTAAAATTTTTTCCTATTTATTTTGGTCCCTTAGGTTTGAAAGCCGAAAATAGGATTATTTCAAAATCAAAACCCGAGTTATAAAAAGGGATTCTTTGACACTAAAAACGTCAGAATAAGTACGCCTGAAATGTTTTTGAATGCAATTTCCTTTTTTTCCTACGCAATTTTGGACAAAACACAAGCAGTTCAAATTACTCGAAAGGTACTTCTAAAAAAAAAGATTGTATGCTCACTGTTTAATTTCTTTACACGAATTTCCAATATACATACAAATATGTCTTTTAATCTTTGATGTGATTCATATTAAATCTGGTCCACTGGTAGGTTCCCAATGAGTTAAATGGATTAGTCAAATCTGCCACAAGTCCAGTCACAAATCTAGTTGAACAGGATGAACAAAGACAAAGGAATGCTGCTGTATACATGGTTTGTTTGAAGAGCCTGTGACTAGGTTTGAGACCAAAAAACTTGTGATAGACTTGCAGGGATGTGTGAGGACATATGATGGACTTGTGTTGACTGATGGCGAATGCACAAGGACTTGTGAATACATTCAATGGACTTAATAAAAGGACTTATAATGGACTTGCAGGAAAATATGAAGTCTTGTGATAGACTTGTCAGGACTTGTGAACATGCCAGGACTTGTGAGGACTGGACTTGCAAGGACTTGTGATGGTGCTAACAGGGACGTGAGGACTTATGATGGACTTGTGAGGACTGATTGCGAATGTAAAAGGACTTGTGGAGACATGTAATGGATGGACTTGCAGGAATATGTGGTCTTGTGATAGACTTGTCAGGACTTGTGAGGACTGGATTTGCAAGGACTTGTGAGGACTTGTAAATACGCTAGGACCAAATGAGGACTTGACTGTACTGGATTCACAAGGATTTGTGATGACTTCTGATGGACTTGCAGGGACAAGTGATTGACATGAATTTGCTGGGGAGGAAATTGTGAAAAACAGTCTACACATTTCTTTACACAAAAAAGAATTGACAAAGTGACACTCGCTATAATACAGTACATGTAATTTGAAATATTTAAATGTTTGCTAGCAACTGATTAAAGCTATGAATTAAATACTTGTCCCTGAAAATATCATTTATCATGGCCGAATTACAAGCCTTAGACAGACTTACTCAACCGCAATTTGACAAGTTTATTTTGTAAAACAAAGCACAAAAGTCATCACAATGAGGCTAAATCAAGTTTTTGAATGGGTTCCTAAGTATTTGTTCAATGACAGTGGCATATCCAGGAGGTTGGGCACCATACCACTTCTTTCAGAGAAGTTTTATTTTCTATTGAAAGTGCAAAAACCGTAGACATGGTACCATTATCACCCTTCTCTAAAGAGGTTTCAAAATCCCATTTCCCCCCTCCCTGGGTACAAAACCTGCATCTGGCACTGTCCAGTATGTCTGTTCTTAACCCTAACAGAGCAAGTTTTTTGGACCATCCCGCAGCGGGGAGGGGGGGGGACATGTGCAGACTCCAACCCCACCCCACAACAACTCAGCTGTCCCATGCCCAATTTTTTAAACACTTGACATGCATGTAAAAACAGTCCTCGGCCACACACATGCAAGTTTGCGTACACTGAGCACTGCAGCTGAAAGCCAAGGCTTACATTTTGGGCTAACCTGGCGAGAATGGTATGTTAAATTTTAACAAACTTGGTGTAAAAATGATTGCAACGAGTTACTGAAAAGCTCCTGATGGATTGGATTATACCAACAATGTACTGGGGTGATATCAGAAAAAAAAAGGCTGGGGGCTGATTTCCCCCCCCCCCCTCTTTCAGAGCTTAAATGTAAAAGCCAGTCACTTGAAATGGAAAATACCAAAAATGGACTAAGTCGTCATCATGAACCCAGTTACCATTCAGTTTCTATGACAGACACAAATGCTCTGCTGAACTCACTTGGACTTTTCTGAGCAACTAGCATTGTTTCTTCTGACAGCTCACAAAAAAAGTTGTATTGCACCAGCACTATGCAAGCTTTCTATTGATTTGAGTAAATTTTTAACAAAAAAAAAAGAAAAATCAAAAAAAAAAAAAATCACGCTAAATATGATACAATCAGAAGCTTGCAGCTAGATCACGTTTCATAAAATCTTACCTTAGTGTAAAGAATTTACAATTAATAAAACCTATTTACAACAATCTAAAGAAATAGATATAATACTTTTTAATTTGAATACAGCCTCACAAATAAACAAAAATCTGAATATTAACTTTTCTATTACAATTTGGATGATCCGTCATTCTGAGGAAGAAGGGGCCTCACATGTACTACAATGTGGGCTGAATCAACGATGCCATGATTTGAATATTAATGTGCATTTTTCTCCAATCAGTAATATGACTAGATTTTCAGCCACTGGTATCACTTGAAAGTCTCGACTTTTTCCTTTCTTTAAATTTCACAAATCAAGGTTTGACCCTTAATTTCGTCTGGCACCATGGAATGTCAGAGTGTGATTAGCTGAAATGCTCTTTTCAAGATTCGTCTGGAGGCTCAGACATCCGTGCCCCCAAATTCAGCCAAACAGAGGATTACCCACCAGTGTTATTGTAAAATTTGATAAAAAACATTTTGCACATGACTTTACTGAAACCTCTTATTTCTTTTTGAAACACTGAAAACACATAAAGCTTATTTCAGAGTGATAGATCAGAGAATGAAAGATCTTGTTTTTAGCTGGTACGTTTTAACAGCAAGCTACGGTGGGAAGCTAGAGTTTATGGCAAAATTTCAGAAACGAAAGAAGGACGAGGATTTTGAGGCTTCAGTCTGATGTTACCAATTGCTGTTTTGGACATATTTCAAATGGGGAGCGGGTTTGGAGTCGCTAAGCCAAACTTTTGGTAACATTTCACAGCACTGCTGTGTTAACAGTCGATTTTTGTACTTAAAGACCCATCTATTTCATGGAGACTGTTGAGCAGTAAGCACAGCAAAAGCTCGCTCAATCCCAAAGGGGAAAGCTGTTTAAATCAGTCAAATGATAATAAAAATCTCCAGGAGCACGTGACTATAACAAATCTGTGAAATACTACTTCAGCAGCGACATGATTTTCTGCTGGGGTGAGCGTGACTTTAAATAACCATTTAGTACCACTGTGATATCGGGTCCTGATTCTGGCAGTAAGCTGTGTAGTCTCATTCGTGGGTTGACAAAACAAATCTCTCTGCAGTCTTTTGGTCCTCTGAGCAGTGCTGGAGAGCTCTACTCATCGTTCATGTGGCTCCTGCGGACACTGGTGGCCTGACGTGGTTGGCAGGGATGTGTCGAGCAGACATGTCTGAAGCAGACAAAATCCAATTAGCAACATTTACACCCTAGATTCAATATAGGTGTAAACTTGATACGGGATATGATAAAGTCCCCATCTTTACAAATCTTGGCCGTTTTGAGAATTCCATCAAGGGGCCACGTTTGACATTCTGAAGCTACCAAGCACGGTTGTGAATTCTTGCTCTTGGAACCAGTTCACGTGCACATTTCAATACACTTAATCAATAAAAAAAAAGATACCAAACAGCTTTCGTGCATTGAAGAACAGTATGGACTTGCTCACAAAGTGTGCCCGAGGAAAAATTCTTTGCCTGTCCCCTTTAAAATGACACTGATCAAATGGTATCAATAAAATGGGGAAAGTCGGGTTGGTGAAGTAGTTCTTTCCTCGCCTTCCACCTCTGTGGTCCCGGGTTCGATTCCCAGCCCGGTCCACATGTGGATTGGGTTTTCAGTCCCTACCTGATTCCGTGGGTTCTACCCAGAAATTTCTTCTCTGGGGTTTTCCTCCCACCTCTAAACCTGTGAGTGCTTCTTTTTGTCTCCTCTCTATTGATGTAGCTGGGATGTGGGTCATATGTCAGCTGCCAGAGGCGCCCTTGTATGCCATTGGCTCGACCACGTTTAATGTCTTCACTGTACAGAGCATTTGAACATATCTTTGAAATTCGTGCTTTATAAATAAATAAATTATATAAATTAAAATGGCATCCACGACACAACACCCCTGAAGTAGTTGGGTGGAGAAAGTACCAATTGTTAAGTGCACATACTTTTCTCGTGAGGTTTTGCGGTTGTGCCAAACAGCTGTCTGAAGGATCGGGACTGCGACAGGAAGTGCCTGGCCTGCTCGATCTCGTCAACCAACCGCTTCAGGTCATCGCTGTCGAAGGTCGGCAACACAGGATGCTAAGGGGTCAAAGAGTACAAGCTTGCTCATTTCTGGCCGATTCTTCCTGGAAATTACCTGATCAAACTCTCTTCAAATAAGACAATGAATCATATCAAGTTTGCACTCACACTGTCAGCAGCCGGATTCACGAAATTTGGCGTAACTTTGAACCATGCGTAAACCTTGTGCCACAAATTTATGCCGTAGTTGCACGATATACTTACGTTTGATTTCACAAAAAGCTGCGCAGCTGAGCCCCGTTTTAATAATATTAAATTTCTTGGACGAGGACAAAAACGGTTTTACAACGGCGGTTACCTTCCAATATAACAACAATCATCAAACAGCCGTTGAATCACCTCCGCCCACCATTTTGTAAAAGTTTTTGTCTTTTCTTTGTCAGAACTGGACAGAAAATCTCGCCGTTCTTTCACAGCCACACAAGTTTTTCATTAACTTCTACAACGAAGTTGTACGTTTCTCGAATAAGCCTTGTTATTTCAGCAATACTGAGGCTTAACCGAATATATGCCGGTCAAAATGTTCATTTTGGGACCGTTTGGCGCAACTTACGCCACCTAACGTGACTGCGTAAGTTACATCATAATTCGTCACAGACTTATGCAGTGCGCAACTTTCGTGAAATAGGTCTTTAATTTGTTGCGCAACTCACGGAATAAAATGTGGCATAAGGAGTTACACCATTGCGTAAAGTTTCCTGAAATCTGCTGCTGAAATTCATAAATGATTTATTGAATTCAGTTAAAGATTGAATAAACACAGGTCCAAGTGAAAATAAAAGCTTTAACCATTAACTGCTGTACAAGATCTCATGAAACTTAATGCAAATGCACACAACAGTTTAAAAGCATATTTTGTTGCATAGAATTTACTGCACTGACACACACTCACGTTTTAAGTCCTCATAGTTTTCTCTGAAAATTTCGTGGTAAAATTTCATCAACCAGAGACTACACACTGCATGTCAAGCCAGAGGGCAACATTCCACTTACGTCGATATCTTTGAAGCCTTCGTCTAGCAGCTTGTGGGCCATCAGGTCGCCGTCCATTCCAGCGAAGCAGCGATGGTAGCGACTGCGACACATGGCTGCCAGCTGCCGCAGGAAGATGTTGGCAGTCCTGCATCGGAGATGGCGAAGAAAAAAAAAGAGCGCGTCAAATTTAAGAACTTGCCCAATGGACTCCTGCTCAAGACCTGCCTTAAAGGCAACATCGCCTGACGGTAACATTGCTGGCTGGAATGCTGGACGGGAGACAGCGGTTACTTTCCCCCTCATCTTGCATATTGAGGATGCAGGCCTCAGTCTCAATTCATGAATATCTCGGACAGTTTACAAACTCAGACCATGGACCTCACCTTCAGCCCGGTCCATTACTGTCCCTAGGCACAGGCCCTGGTTTCAACTAGTACATTTAAAATGCCCATTCTCCGCTTAATTCCCTTACAAGATTCCCTTGACAAAAACATGCTGCTTTTACAACAGCTTTAAACAAATCTTGAGGTACTTTGTCATTATTAGCCAATTTTTGCAGCATTCTGTTCTCTATCTGGGATGTATCCCGCACGTCTAGACAGACAGAGGTAATTAAAGTAATGTGTCTTGCTTAAGGACACAAACAACATGGCTACTGTTGGGATTTGAACCTGGATGCTATAGCACATAACTCAAACGCCAACCATCAGAGCCAAGGAGCTCTAGAAACTCAACATTATTCCAGTCAACAGCAAATATAGTCGAGAACCAGTCACATGCAACACATGTTGCATGACCTTTTCCCTGGTAACTGTTTTTGCTATGCAAACATAATCTGTGCTTAACACTCAAAATGTCTACGGTCAGCAACTCTCTGCAATTTTCCCCAGTTAGCTTGACTCACTCATCTTCGCAGTTGAATGAGATGGTGTGGATCTTGACGCCCCTGATCGTGTTGACCTGAGCCACCTCCCTCAGGACCCTCGCTGTGCTGCTGTCCGGTTTGCCATCTGTAAGCAAGTACATGGCCTGGACTTCCTTGTCTTTGAATGCATGCTGCAGGGCGACAAATGGGGAAAAATATAACCCTAACAGCTGTACAGCCCATGTCAATACAGTGTCCCCATGATCTGATCTTTATCATCCAAATTCATCAGACAATCCGGCAAATCTGGGGCACACAGTCATGATATTATCATAGTTAAAACACTATCATCTTGTCACACTATAATGATATTACCACGGTATATATTGTCATCTGGGTGCAATATCATGATATCACCATGGTAAATACTGTCATGTTGATGCAATATCATATTACCATGGTATGTATTGTCATCTGGGTGCAATATCATGATACTATCATGGCAAATATTGTCATCTGGGGTGCAATATCATGATATCACCATGGTAAATACTGTCATGTTGATGCAATATCATGATATTACCATGGTATATATTGTCATCAGGGTGCAATATCATGATACTAACATGGCAAAATTGTCATCTGGGGTGCAATATCATAATATTGCAATTGTTGATATGATCAACTAGGCAGATTTTCCTGAAATGATCATAGTTAATGTTACCATCGAGCATATGGTCATAACTATTGCTAATCTAGCCACACAATCCTAATGTTATTGATGTATCATTTTCATTGTATTAAAATACCTAAACTTTAAAGTTACTAGTCACTATGATATCACATCAAAATGCTCTCTAGTAACAAGAAACAGCATAGACACCGTAACCACGAACATAAAATAGCATGGCGCACATTTCAAAATGGGTAATTCCAAATCTCTCTGAATTATGACCCTGTAGAATACAGAGAAATTCATTAGATGGAGAATTAAGATCTTTTCATTATAACCACCAAATGTAATTAAGTTCAGACTTTTTTTTTCAAAAAGAGGCAGAAATACATGCAGTTATTTTACCAGGAGAGCTTCTAGCGTGCAAGTGTTTCCAGCGGGGACAAAGGTCGAGATCCAGCGTACAGCATCGTGGCAGTTGATTTCAGTCGGTTCCACCAGGCTGTTCCTCCACGGCTCGATGTCGCCCGAGAAACGGATGATGTTGAAGCTGCAATGTGCATTAAAGTGAAAGGCAACCGAACAACCACTTGTAAGATTTTGAAAGTCTTTACGGTGCAGGGGAAGAACGATGGGGAGTGCATGTTTGAGTCAAGAAGGAAACGTTTCACTTTCAAGACAGGATGAAAAAAGATGGCTCAAAGAGCTGGTGTGCGACGCCTGATGTTAACTTCAAGTGGGTCAGACCAACACAAATGTGCAGTATAAACTGTGAAGACTGCTCCATATTGCACCTTGGACAATTAAGTTTCACGACACAAAATAATTTAATTATGGATTTAAAAAGAAAAAAAAAACAATCTCAGCTGAGGGGCATAAGGGGCATGACACTTCCCTGGCAACCCACACTCCACAGGCAATATCCTTCCCCTGAGGCTTGAATGCCATTCAGTAGCAAAGTCCTTGAGCAATCAGTGGCTAAGCAGTCTCCAGAGCTCAGCTCACCACAATCTCGTTAGAGCAAGTGCCACATCTAGCCACTTAGCACCCAACAGATTACAAAAATTAATGCTTGAAGAGGTTTGGCAAGTGTGTGATGTCAAGCTAGTGGTGTGAGCGACAGGACTTGCTTGTTTGTTGAAGTGTAGAGTGAGACAGGCCTGCATATCACTCTAATGGGGAGTAAACATTGGAGTGCCACTCCAGGATTATGTGGTGATGAATAATTCACGGGCAGCAGGCTAAATACGGGAACTGCTGCTATGTCTGTGCAGTTTGCAGTTAAAATCACTCGGTGTTTTCCCTTGCTAAATCTAGATTTAGAATTATATGCTCTGAATGGTAGGGTGCAGTGGGGGTGGGGTTGGGTAGGCTGGGGTTGGGTAGGCTGGGGTTGGGCGGGGAACTTTGGGTTGGGTTGGCGTGGGTTGGTTTCGTTTGGACGGGTTGGGTCAGGGTAGAATGCGTTGCCGGGTTCGGTTGGATTGGGCTGGGGTAGGTTTGGGTGAAAAGGGATGGGTTGGATTAGGTTGGGGTGGGCTCAGTAGGGTGAAATGGGATGGGCTGGATTAGGTTGGGGTGGGCTCAGTTAGACGAAAAGGGATGGGCTGGATTGGGTTAGTTTGGCAGGTTGATGGGCTGGCTAGCTGGCTTGTTTGAAATGTGCAAAGATCATTTGTAGTAAAGTAAGGATCGATTTGCCCCACAATGCAGGCGGTGTGATAGGGTCGCTTCAATGAAGATGTGGCAACAGCTGTAGCCCCACCATGCTTCCCCCCCCCAAAAAAAAAATGGGCGGAGGGAATTCAAGGGTAGGAGGGCCGATTACCTGATGTTCTCTCGCTGGAATTGGTCCCATACAAGGGCTACCAGCTCCTGTTTCAGTTCATCCATGTGAGACACCATAGACCCCGACGTATCCACAAGCACTGTCACCTAGCCCACATCAGAGAGGAAAAACAATAAGTGAAGATCAATTCGAATTTCACGCGAATATGAATCAAATTCGATGACGTATGTATTCCCAGCAAAACTGTTCAAGTGTTCCATGTGAACGTATTTGTATGTGCACCTGTGAGTATCCGCTCCGAGCGGGAACAATAGAGGGCGTGTGTTAAAATGAAACTGACAGTCCTTTGGTACGAGCTCATGGCATTGGCACCCAAGTTTATGCGTGTTTGACGCGGAGCATGCCGAGTACGCGCAACAAATTTTTTCTGGGAATGAATGTTCTTCACGCGCGCACTGAAAGCATGCAAGAACCCGGTTGGAAAACTTAGTTCCAGTCTGGCTTTCTTTCGTCACTGAGGGTGCACTTTAACTCAGGGAGGATTCAAGACAGGAATTGGCATATGGGGCTGGATCTCAGAAAATGAATCTTAAATTTTGCCAAATTGTGCTTTTGTTTGAATTACAAAGAGCAACCTGACCTCTTTAGTCTCATACACTGCTTGGTTTGGAATCTGGATGAAAATGGACATTAGGCAGGAGAAAAATGTTGAGGGTCCTATGCGTCTTTCAATGGTCTGTCACTTCAAAGTGGCTCTGGCGATTTGCAACTCGTTTTGACAGGTTGATTTCCATACTTGCCCAATCAGATAGCAGGATTGAGCACAACACCACTGTTTAGTTACCTCCCATTACATTTTTTTGAATACATTTTTTTAACAGCATCTAATCATCATTATCCCAAGATATCCTTTGACAGAAGTCAAATTCAAAACAATATACGTTTTCCAAATGAAAGCCACAAACAGTGCTCCCCTAAAAAAAAACAATCAAGTACACTGGGCTAAAAGTGGGAAGTTCAAAGCAGACTGCCTAACACACGTTTTAAATTTCACACAGTTACAGGGGAGTCAGGTTGTTGTAAGGGCTCTGTCCTCGTCTTTCACCTCAGCGGCCTGGGGTTCGATTCCAGGCTCAGTCCACATGTGGATTGGGTTTTTCAGTCCCTACCTGCCAGTTTTACCCAGAGCATTCCTCTGAGGTTTTCTTCCCACATCGACAACTGTAAACAACTTCTTCTTATCTCCTCTCGACAGATTTCTTCAGGCTTGCAAGTTACAGTGCCTAGGGGGCTTTTGAGGAATCCTTGGCCTCGTTACCAGAGCTACTAAAATAACACAACTGAATGAGACTCTTCCTATGTACCTTTTTCTCCACCACCGCACCGAAGGTCCGTCGGCTGGCCCCCAGGAGCCACTGCAGTCTGCGAAGGTACCTGCGGAGTACCAGCTCGATCTGCTTCTCGTAGTCTTCCAGTTCGTGGGCTTGGATCTGGAGATGCCGCACAGTTCCCTGCGTGGAGAGCATGGTTGTTGCAGAAGTCCAATATAAAAACTCGCTCATTATGTTTGATACACAGAAAATAATAATCTTGTAATAAAACCTTTTACAAAAAGGTTCAACAGTGTGCTTACTGCAACGGAATCCTCCAAAACATGCCTTTGCATTACTTCAAAATTTTACTATACTGGTCCATTTTGTTTTTATAAGTATTACAATTTCACATTTCATATCATCCACAGGAATTTGTGAATTGTGCGAATGTTTGTTTCCATCTTATAACATTTTGAGTCTTCTGTAGGATCCCAATGTTAGCTTTACGGTTGTCCAACTTTCTGTTGCTCTCATTGATGATAGCCGAGGGTAATCCCAAACCCGGTGAAGCACAACCACAAATGTCTGATTCCAAAGGAAGTAGTTTTCGCCACTAGTGAAGAGCAAAATATTTACATCTGGCTTCTTTGAGTCCGCATTTGTTGAGTGAGTACCATCAAACATACCTTGATATTGACACTTGGGAATATTGTGCAGTATCTGCCAAGAAATTGAGAAGTGGGCAAAGAATACAAATAAAATGTGACACACTGGTTAAACATATTCTCTTTTTATGATTCTCTTTTTTTTAACAAAAAAGAGAAAAAAAGATCCATATTCAAAAGATGCATGGGAAAGTCTCGCTGGATAGACTTATGTTTCCGGTTATTATTTGGCTGATGCAATCTTCAGTGGCTATTCGCTGAGAACGTGTACAGTGCAACCAACGGACTAGTCACCAGACTGAACCGGGTAACTTCAGCAGAGTGTCGCTGGCCTTGGAAATGATACTGCAATGCACAGCAGTGTGTTGCAGGCTCTCCATTGGTGCAGCCCTATGAATCATATAATTGGACTGAAAAGAGCCTTTCTGTTTTCTTGGCCAATCAAAACCCTTCTCAGATCATCTGAATGTAAAACTAATTATTATACATTGGGATCTGACTCAATGCAACGTTTGAAGCATCTGGTGTCACTAACTCCATTTAAAGTTTAAATATGCTTCCAACGTACTCTACTAGGTTTAGGGCCACGCTTTATGTTCTCCAAACATTACAGAAGTGTCTACTGCCAGAACTCACTTTGCTGTGACCGATTTGTTGAGGGTTCCGATGTGACGCTTTGCATGGGTGCATTCCGGTCCCGACACCAGCTTGTTCAGGTCCAGCCGTAACTTGCCCAGACCGTACATCTTCAGCCACTTTGGTTCGGACGACAATAAAAAAAACTCCTAATGGTTTCTCAGGGCACTGACGACGCAACTTTAACAGACTTTTAGCAGACTTTGGATAAATGGTTGTGGCTTTTGTCATCCATTACTTGAGGTTGTATCAGCTTCATGCATGAAATGTTGAGGGCGGCATTCGCATTACCAAAAGGGGGTGAAGTGAAGGTACAGTAATGGACTCCAGAACAACTAAAAGTCTAATTTTTTTTAGCCAACCAGGTATTAACTCTAACCGAGCCCAGCTTTTTGGACCTTCTCACAGCTTGGGGAAGGGGACAGTGGGAATCCATCCCAATGATCACAGCTGTCCTTGGAGAGCCTCTCGACAGAAACTTGTTTCTTTTAGGCAATCCATTGGGAGCTAAGTGGATATTGCGTATTGTTTTTTGTTTATTGATTTTGTCCCTTTGTAATGTTTGTATTTGTATATATATAACTTTCTTGGCTGCTATTTGTATGCATCCCAAAAATGAAATCAATGTAAATGTAAAATGGAAATGTCCTACAACCAAGTCCTGTTGACACATTGCAAATTTCAAATCCAATCTGACAATGGGCTTTAATGTTATGGTTATTCTAGCTAAGGCTCTCGTACTTGAGACCCTGTTTATCGGGCATATCAGTGGTAACAGTTGGGACTCTGGGCCGACCTGCCTTGGAAAAATGGGCATTCTGGAAGAAAATTACGTCTGGTTTGGAAATGGTGTCAAAATGACGACAAGACATCAGGGAATAAGACTTGAAAACTCTGCACAATACGTCCCCTCCCTTCCAGAAACGATCTTTCCGTTGATACCTTCTAGTAAACCCTTCCGTCAAAGTTTCACCTGCTGCCCGCTACCCACCTCCTTGGTTGTCTTGAGTTCCTCCCTGTCGGGGATGACAGGATGGTTGATGGCCTTCCTCACGGCCTTCTTCTTGCCGAGGATGTCTGGGTACTGCTTAAATACAGTCCCTGCGAAAAAAAGAAGTGAAGTATTGTGAAATTCAAACCAAAAGACGAGATATCAATTTTTATGAGGACCATATCATATCGCGTGCTCGCCACGCCGGGCGTTCTCACAGCGAAGAGTTCCAGCAATGAAACAACTTGGTATTTCCAAGAAGGCACGGTCGTTCAAGAACAAGACATCAGGCCAGCTCGAACATGTCAAGTACCTCTGAGTTGGTGCACTTCCCTGCTGATAGGGTCGAACCTTACGCAAGTCTTGCTACTATCAAATTACCTACAACGTGCTCCATTTCATACAAGCGCTGTTGATACACGGAACTGTCTCACGGGCAATAGAATTCAGAAGGAAACAAGGGAAATTCCACACTGCAAGAGACACTCTACGCTGCCTTTCAATTTGTAATGGCATCAATAGGTGAAGTCAGAAAATAACGTGTATTCATAAAATGCATGTATCAATCATTGCTGGTGCTCAACATCCTATGTATCATTACCCAAAACCAATAAACGCTCTCAAAACCATCTCAGCTGCCCAGGAGGTATGCAGCCAATTAAGGGCAGGTGCAAATGGCTCATCAAACACAACCATTCCTTCCCTCACAGACACCCCTTTACACTCTTTGGGGGAAGAGAGGCAAAAGGGGGGGGGAAGTGACGTGCCCAAGGTCACAACGTAACCAGCTGCCGGATTACAAACCCCCTCCCCAGCGTACGGTCTGGAGAGAGACCAATTCTAATGACTGGGCTGCACGCCTCCAGATCAGGTGATCGGGGCAGAAAGCTGTAGAGCATGCGACCAGGTGACAGACAAGGGATGACGGTAACAAGCCTAACGTTGGGGTGGGACTCACCCACTTCGTTCTTGAACTCGGTGTAGAAGACCTGCTTGGTTGGCTTGGCCTTGTGAGCACTGCCGGGCCGCTTGGTCTTGCGATCCTTCTCTGTGGCCAGCCTGTTAGAATCCAGTTCTACGAAATTAAAAAGAAAAGATATTTATTCCAGTTTTGTTTAGATCTCAGTCAAAAACGGTAGCTGAATTACTGATGTTCAATCTCGGAGATCCAGTTGTCAACTGCGACCACAGCCAGGCGCTGTAGCAAATATCACCCTTCAAAAAACTCTCCAAGTGTCAAAAAGTGACACTGCAGTAAGAAATGTCGTGAAAGTTTTGGATAAATAACCACCTAGGGTCAGCATTTGTGAAATCCGACTTTTAAAACCACTGTGGTTATGGTATCTTCTTGTTTTAAAAAGTCGTCAGAAGTTAAGACTCGCTTTGTGGGATACGGTCATAATTACAGCCCACTGCCCATGGATACTGCTTGGCCCATGGATACTTACTGCTGGGGTCTTTCTTGGCACTAGAGGGCCTGCTTCGGGGGAGGGACTTACTGTCATCTTTGTCCTTGGTCTCTGTGATTTGCTGATACACAGAAAGGCAGAAAAGCTGCAACTAGTGAACTGAGCAAGAATACTCGGGTGAAGTCACAGAAAACTATTACAATGAACACCTCCACACACACACAAATTTTGTTATCATGAATTACCACGGGCTTGATTAATTGGCTTTTTTTTCCAGTAAACTGTTCAGTGTACTTGTCCAATAACACCAATAAATACCCAGGTATTATTGCAAGTAAGCCAAACAGTATTCATTTCAATCAGTGGTGGATGGGGGGACCCCCTCCACACTTTCTAAAATGGGAGTGATATAACCAGGGTGATATCATATCGTTTGTCCTCTTCACTTGTTTCACCACTTATCATACGAAGTTTTGAAAGAGAAAAAGATTACTTGAGAATGATCTAAATCTTGCAATAAGCATTTGCTTACAAAAAATTAGTTAAATTGGTCAAAATTAGCACAATAATGGCACAGATGGTCAAAATATGCCTTTTAATAAAGAATCTGTTGTCACTTTACATGAAATAAGTCTCATTGGTTAGTTTGCTGCAACGTACAGCATCCTGTCATTAAACAAATGCTTGGTATGGTACCCCGAGGTCATTTGATCAGGCCTTATTGGTGCAATTGTCAGGGACGGCCAGCGTACTCACCAGCCTCGCCAGGCTGAGCTCAGTGTGCTTGGGGGCAGGCAGGGCCCTTTTCTTGGCCGAGCTGGGCCTCATGGGAAGCATCTTGGGCTGGTCATCCGATGAGCCATTCGTCAACTCTGCCTGCTGTGAAGGGACCGACAGACGAAAAGGGCTATAAACGCTGACCGCTCACTGGGATATTTGATACGTAACAGCCAGGTGGTGACCAGGACGTCCTCAGCTCTGAGGGAACATCTCAAACAGTGGGAAGATTCCTGAGCCAACTGGAGCACTCCTTTTTAGAATACCATGTTTTGTTTTCTGGACGGGAATTCCCTGTAGTCCCGTAATTAATGAACGCGCTGTTCTGATATTTGTGCCACCCAACTCTCACATTCAACTTGTCCACAGACAATGGCCGTGTCCGAAATGGGCTTCCAGAGCTACGGCAAGGTCTATTGTCTGCATGTCTCCACGTACTTTCAATGGAGTGAAGATCTTGACCTAGCTCTAGACAACAGATTCGGATGCAGACGCCCATCAAAATACAATACAAGCTTGATTCTCTCAATACAAAGGAACTCTTAGCCGTTTGAGCTTGTAATGCTTTGGACGCGTGAATTCTGAACAAACACAACCTGTAGCAGATTTCAATGTCTTCGTACTTTGAGGTGTGTGAGCCGTGATACCGATCTAGGAATTGGCGTCGAGGCCTTTCCCTCCATTTTGGACGATACTCGACAGATGGATCAAACAGTTGAGATACTTACATACTTTGGGGATCTTTTCTTCACCGAGTCCACAAGCATTGCACACTGAGAATGCAAACATTAGATACCAGGTCAGTTTATGGAAAAGTCTTTTCATAAGTTAGTGGATTAGATTACACATAATGAAACAGTAGCCTAGCCAGAATGGCAGTGAGAATCTTGAAAGTTCCATGTTACTCCGGATATTCACAGGACTTTGAAATGAAACCCACTAATGAACACAACTATGTTGACACTTACTTCATTTTGAACTGACTTGATTCAAGAACAGCCAACAGAGCACACTCATTAATTTGAATATTGGTGATTGCAATGGTGAGAACTACTTTGTGAGGAGATCACCGATGGAAGGTTACATTTATTCACCTTATGGAAGAGATCCTTCCGTCTGTCAACAAATGAAATAACTCTTCCCAGTGTACAAATGTGCAACATTCAGTATCTGTTTATGCAATGCTCGAGTGCACCCTGCAGAAATCCCTGCCTGACTAGATGCCTGCATCGCCTATGAGTTTGGAAATTTAATGTGATTGTGGATTAGAACGTTCTATTTACCGCATGCCGTGGACTGGAATGTTCTATTTATCTAAGCAGCCATGCAACACGCACTAAGATGTTGAAAACATTGACATGTCATTCATGACACAACGAGATGATGTGGATTTATTCAAGTGTTTTGTACGAGGAAGTGTTTCAATTGACCGATTGTACCTGCTAAGTCACATGACCGATAGTGCGTATGATTTCCATTCAGTGTCGTTTACCAAAAACACAGCTGATTTTTGAAATAGTATTTAGCATCTCAGTGGTCTGAGTACTGTATCAACCGTCGTCTTCATGACACTTATGATATACTTTGCTATGAGAGGACGCCATGTTTGTTGATGTTTGATACCCACTATAGGTCACACAATTTAGCAGGTGCAATCGGTCTATTGATTTGGGAGAGTTTCCCAGGGTGTAAGGGGCAGACAAAAATTCCCCCAAAAAGGAAAAAAAGAAACCAAAAGATAAAAATGGATCCAACCTTCTGGGAATAATTGACAGCCTTGTCCATCTCGCTCAGGATGGACCGGATGTCGTCGCTCTCGATGATGCCTGTCTCCCGGAACCAGTGGAACCGGCCGCCGGTGACGTGGGCCAGCGTGCGCAGGCACTCGGCCGTCCGCGTAATGTTGGCGTAGCGGCCCGGGATGGCACCCCGGCTGTCATAGTCATCCACGTTGAAGAGGACGGCGTGGAGGCGGGTAGCCTGACCGATGGTGGCCTCCTCCATGAAGGAGCAGATGACCTCGGGCAGCTGGTCTGGGATGCCACTGGTGAACAGGTAACGCCATCCACAGCTAACAGGGACAACAGAATTAGGGTCAAGAAAAGTTAACCCTTTCCTTTCCGTTGGGTATGAAAGCCCATGCCCACAAAAATCCTGCTTTTTCTTGACAACCGAGGGCACCTCTACTCATTCATGCCCTCAGTTTTTTAATGTCTTAAAGCTTGCACATTGGTAAAAAATAAAAGTTTTTAGCCTTGCTCGGATAATCCTTATTTCTTACATTGGAAGTGCTATTTTAAAAAATCATTTTGTGGATGACATACAGGGAAACTGTGAAAGTTGTACCATTTCGGACAGTGAGGGTGCAGTTCTCGATCACTGTACCAGGAGAGGTGCCCTCAAATCAAGGATTGTCATTTTTAGGACTTGCCCTTTTGCAAGCAATGTGCATCGCAGACGCCTTTCAATTTTCTGCCTCCAAGCCAATTTCTGAAATGATCAGAGGGTTCTTTAAGCACTCCCCAGTGGTACCACTGCACGGCAAAGCTCGACTGCAGCTGTATCTAGAACTAAGAGCCACTCACTCAAATTGCGTTTGCGGTCTTCCTCGTTCTCCAAGGCCAGCCGCAGGGCCGAGAGGAAATTCCGACTGCCTCCGCACTCCAGACCAAGCACCCATCTGACAGAGAGCAAGACAGGACAAGTATTGAAGTGAAAAAGGGACCGCATGGAGATGGTATGCTTGTGCACGGGAAGTACAGTCCAGGGGAGAGATTTGGGAGTGGAGAAAAATCCACAATGATGACCAAGACAGCTTTTTACGGCCAACAAGTCAAGTCCTGGACAGAGTTATATTCTCCCTACCCCCTTGCACTTGACCAAGCACTTAGTCTGCTTGGCTGTAGTACATGTTTATATTCTCCCTACCCCCTTGCACTCTGCCAAGCAGTCTGCCTGGCTCCAGTACACGTTTTTATTCTCCCTACCCCTTGCACTCGAACAAGCACTTAGTGTGCTTGGCTCTAGCACATGTTTATATTCTCCCTACTATCGCACTCCACCAGACACATCCATGTACAATATACTCACTTCCATGCCATTTGCAGGTTCTGCTCGGTGGGCTCGTGCATGAAGGGTCTCCAGGCGCGCGCCGTGCTGCTGAAGCTGTCGGAAAGTAAAGTCAAAAAGGAGTTGACGTAAAGTAAGGAAAGTATGCTTACTATAGTCCGTAGATGTTGATATTGCAGGACTACCTGTTTGTTGTATTTACCACTTTGGACATGGGCCCAATTTCACGGCGCTGCTTACCGCAAGCGAAAAATCGGCGCTTACCGTAGCAGAAAATTCTGCGCTTAACCCGAACGTATTTCACAGGTTAGCAAGGAATTTTGGCCTGTGCGCATGCGTAAACCCCGTAAGGATTCTGTGCTTAAAGGGTTGGCACAGAATTTTTCTGCTTGCACGGTTAGTGCAGAATGGAGATCGTAAGCGCGGAATTCTGCGGTAAGCAGTGCCATGAAATTGGGCCCTGGTCTTTTGCTGAGAATGGAAAGTGGTAAATCATCTTAAAAGACATCTACTTTGACGAAGTCATCATGTGGTAAATTACCGAACAAGTCGCCCAGGAAGAAGTCATTACTGTTTGCCCAATATGTTATGAAATTAACCCTGTTCAATGTAGTCAGCTGGAACTGAGGCTAAATGGTGTTAAAAATCTTGCATCCGGTAGTCAATACAAGTAGCAGGGTACAGTGCGCAATGCCAAGACGGGTGGTTTATCCAAGTCACTGCACAACACAACAAACTGTGTTCTCTTTCCAAAGATGTTGGATTTTTTCGTGAACTTGCTCCAGTCAGACACACGCAACCTTAATGGAATTAGGGTGTCAGGAATTCCAACACTGCTAAAATCGGCCCAATAGTCCTTTATTTTCATGCTGCCATGTTTGTCTTGTTCCCTGTGGACCCATCAGCAATAGTAATACAACTTCACACATTGAAAAAAGGGAACTGACAGTTTTTCCTTCTGGCCTCAGTTTGGCTGCATTGCTCTGAATGGTAGAAAAGCAAGATGGCCGGCCCATGATATGGGTCTATAGAAGTCTTTCTCTCAAACGAGCTGTGCATTAAACTCGGCTTCTCTGATCACACTCACCCGATGAGGTTGAAAGCTTCTTTACTGAGCAGCTGCTCCTGAAGCAGCAGGCGCAGCGAGTGCTGTATGTGGACCAGGTAGTTGGCATTGCTCAGAGACAGGTCTACCAGAATCACAATTCTGTGGGGAAAAAAGGGCTGCATGTAGTCGGAGCATTTGACCACTTCGCCACTTTTGGGATGAAGAGACACTGTACAACATATTCATTGAAGCAGTTGCAATAATTACCACTGTCAAGTTTTGTGACCTACGAGGGAATTTACTAGCTCACGAGGCACGTGCGATCTCACAAATAGCCTGATTAATGTGAACCTTGCACTGTTTTTTTCCTTGTTTAAAAAAAATTTAAAAAGTAGCATAACCTGAATGATTCGACTTCAAAAATTCTGAGATTCTGGAATCCAAAATCTTGTCACCGATCAAATCCTGGGGAAATCCCACACCCCTGTATACAATACCTCTTTTCAGTCAGGGTACCAAACAGCCTCCGACTGCTCTTAGAGAGCCAGTCTACTCTTCTCTCGTACAGCTTGACGGTGGCGCCCAGCTGCTTCTGGTAGTCAAAGAGCAGCGCCGGGTCCACGTGGACGTTCTTGATGGTTCCGTCGTGCCACTCAAACTGGGTCATTGCTTTCTGGAAGGATTTGAAAACCCAACAGAGGAATTTCTACATAGTGCCACCACGAATTCTATCAGATAGCATCTCCGCCATGCAAAGCTTCGACTGTTGATAAAGCCCTAATTTCTCTACCAAACTACAGGAAAAGGTTTGCCTGGAATCCACCCTTCCACTGGATTGTCAAACTGTGGAGTGTGAATGTTTGGATCATCCCAGAAGCTGTTGGGAAAAGAGATGAAAATGCAGTAAACGCAATAACTCTCCCGCTCACCTCGTGAGTCTGTGACCTGACAGACTTCCTAATGATAGGAATGAACTCTTCAATTTGGTTGAACGCATTTGGAGCCAAGACCTGGTACAAGGACAGCCTTTTCCCTGTGGATAAAAATTCAACTAGTTTACCACACTCAAGTCGAATACAATTCAATTTCATATGAAAGGCAAAGTGCATATTTTGGGGGTGAAAAAGTTGACCTGAGTAACTGATAAGAGCTAACTACGTGCATAGTGCAGAAGGTGTCGACATTATCACTACACCAAGGTCTATGGCTGTCACACATATAACCTTGCAAGTCCATCATCAGCCAAACAGAAAGTCCATCGTATCAGTGTGCAAATTAGTTAACGGTAACAGGTGAAGATTGAAGACAAAAGTATGCCTTTGTCAAAAGTTCATTTCAACTGCCTACGTCTTGAGACTTGAGGACTTTGGAGAACTTGCCTACAGACTTGACTACAGAGTCATCTCTGCCAACATTGGAAATCCACAGTGGGGAATATAAAGTGTGTGTGCTTGCAGTGCGAATGTCCTGTCTTCTCACTCGCTGTTGCTGTTCATTTACTAAACACAATCGTTGAGCGCACGACATGAGCGTTTTTTGTCTGGGAACCAGACTGTGATAAAACACAGATCCCAATGAATGCTTCTTTTTGTTGTGACTCTGCCTCAGGCAACTGGACAAACATAATAAAGTTGCATGGAGATACAAAGTGAGTGTACTAAAATGCAACGGCCGTTGGTCGATTGTATCAAGTCCTGCATCGTTTTTATGCACCGATTCGAAAAGAGTACGATGCATTGCAGTGATCTGCAGTTTTAACTAATTTTGAATTTTTGCCCTGCCTGACGTGTATTTTAACACTGTATACTCAGTGTATGCCCGCGAAGGCTTGTGAAAAAAAAACCACAAGCGTACTCGGGTGGGACTTGAACCCATGACCTCCTGCTTACTAGTGCAGACGTCTTAATCACTCGACCACCGAGCTTGCTGGTGTCGGCTGGCTGGTTTGAATCAGATGTAGCAGCGGGTACCGCGAACAACTATTTTCAAGGATGGATTTATGTGGGAGAGGAGATTAATTTACATCTCCCTGATGCAAATCCATCCTTGAGATGCTGTTTTAACATTCTTCGAGATCACCATGCTCTGGGCACCTGCATGCTTATTGCGGATAAGCAAACTTCCTAAGATGTTGGCTGTATGCGAGAACTTTTTGAGATTTTGTTTTTTCTAATTGTAAGACCTTTGAAAACTCCAAAAATCAGGGCGTGTAAATACCTTTGAGGCCATTCTGTTGCAGCCACTCCTCGGATGTCTTCGGCAGGAAGCTGGGCTCTTCCAGGACCAGAGGGCCGGCGTGGTTGGGGGGCCTGGGTAGAAACCGCGACTGCGGCAGCTTCTGAACCTCCAGGGATATCTACGCTTTTCCAAAATGAAGAGAACTCATTAAAAGGAGCAGTCTGATTTGTGTAGAAACCAATGGAATATTATGGAATGCTATAAAGGATTGAGAATGGTACAGCTAAGAGGCTGGTATTTAAAACGGCAAAAGAGACGTTTGCTTTGGCTTTTCAGACTGATTTGGCTTCCAGCTTTGCAGTGAATTTTTTTTCTGGCTATAAATGAGGCACCAACACCCATAAACACCATGCAGTGAATTTCTGTTGGCTCTACTGTACATAGTGCACCAACTATCATAAAACCCATGCTTTTAAAGACCAATACTAGACTGGCACTCAGCAGGCTATTTTTCTATTAAAAAAAGGGAATTTTGCTTTGGGTTTACAGATCGACTTGCCTTCCAAATTTGCAGTGAAAACACAATTCACCAACACCCGTAAAAAAACATCTTTTTGGTGTTTGGCCCATCCTTCTGAACTGCGTCATTTCAAACAGGCTCCATGCAATGTAGTGTAAGCTCCCCATTACAGCCTGAAATCATTTGGTTGGGGCCGAGTTGGTTTGGGAACCCAGACTTCTTTATGCGCTTTGGATGTTACTAAATGATACTGCGGGCATGTCACTTTGCCCCCAACTCTCTTTGAGACAGCATCGTGAGTGAATTAATTTTAATTTCTTGTACAAATTGAGCTGATTTGTCCGACCTCGTTGAGTATGCTGATGAGGGCATCTCCCATCATGCCTTGCCTCATTTCCTGTATCTTGTTGATGACGTCCTGGGCTATTCTGATCTCCCTCAAGAGCATGGTGATGTCTGTGCCCGTGTAGATTTGCTCCTGAGGATTGGGGCAAAAAAACAGAAGAAACTCTGTCCTAGCACATCGGGATGAGACGATGCATATGTCACAAATGGCACCATGTCAAACAGCATGGTTTGAGATTTGGCAATAAAACTTGCAAATATCTCTGTTGAAGACGGGCACTTCAGTGCCTTTTGTTGACGTTCACTCACACCAAGGGAAGTGGACGTACATGTTATGAAAAGATCCAGTTTATCCATAGTGACTTCAAAGACCGGGCAAGTGACTTCATTGAGGTTACTGCACGGAATTAATGAAAAGGTACAATAGCAGCCGACTCCTGGTCTTTGCGATTAAGTTTTCCAAAATTTTGATCAAAACCTCGCACTGCCGATGAAGTATTTTTACCAACCCGTTTCTGGGGTCAAATTATTCCTTAATGACCAAATCTCCTTCAGGAGCCTCTCAACTGAAAATATTATCACGTGTACCTTACCTCTGAGCCTGAGGCATAGACGTGATACCGGCCACCCGAAATATCAGCCAGCTTGCGTAGTGTCAACTAAAAACAACCAAGTGACAACAAAAAATGGTCGCATAAAGGCAATTGTAAAATTTGGTTGATTCCTCCCATGTTGACCATGGATTTGTAAGCAGATGTAAGGATTGATTTTCATCATCTGTTCCAAGTTTGTTGACCAACATTTCATGGGGTAAAATGAATCCAATTTCAAAGCCCTCAGGGGCAACCTGTGCTCAAGACGGACTAAACTTAAAACTGAAGCAGTCCATGCCTACTGCCCTCTGGAAAAGCAAAACCTTGTCATTGAAATTTTCTCTTTTCATTATGGGGACCTGATGTGATCATTTGTAATAACACTGCTCAGGTGAAGATCATAACTACTCTTTCTGACACAAGTTGTGTGGCGAAAACTCCCATCCCCTGATACACACAATGTCTCTCATCATAATCAGTGCATGCAGGCCAGTCAAATGCTAGGCAAAACAACCCTTCTACAGCTAATGCACAAGTTTCATAGTACTGGGGCATGTTTGTTAAACTGTCACACGCTCATGTAGTAAAGTAGCATGCGCAATTGCAAAGAACATGCAGCCGAGTTAAGCAAAGAAAAGCAGTAAAAAAATCAATCAATCAATCAATCAGAAATGCACTCTTAAGGGAGTGTTCCAAATTTTTGATGCAAAGGAAAAGGAAGTTGTGAAAAAAATTAAGATTCTTGCAAAGCGTTACATGCCACCAACACCGTATTATAAAAATTAAATACAGTGAACAAGCGCATTACCAAGGCAGCACTCAAAAGCCTTCGCCTCATGCAAAAGCAACGCTAAACAATAAAATCAATGTGAACAGAAAAGCAGAAAAAAAAATGTAACTTGCACATACACATTACCTTCTCTATCGACAAACGATCTACAATGTCAAGTAGGTCTGCTTCACAACTTAGAGGAGACAAAAATTAACTTTGCTCTATTGGTCCATTCTCTTTGTAACGGAAACATCCTATTACCTATTACTTTAACCCTAAATTTCCCCAACCACACAGAATTAAACAGTAGTAAAGTGTTTAATTCTGTGGGGATAGGTCTGGTAGGCCCATAACAGCTGGCATTTGCATTGGGTTTGGCATACCTCAGAAAAACAAAGCCCAACAGCCTCTGTGCACAAAGTCCCATATGGGTGTTTAGCTTTGTGTGAATGGGGACCGTTAGGGCCAGCAACCCTTGGAGGGTTAGGGTTAATGATGCATGATGTATAACCAACATGCTTGGATTTCCTGCCTTGTAATACAGAGGGCATTTACATATGTTCTGGTGAATTCTGTACACAGTGGCAGGTGTCTATGCTCATCCCCACACATGAGGGATTTCTAGTGAGCTTGTACACAAGAAAGAGGCTCCAAGCGTGCGACTTGGATCGTGGCGAAAAAATGAGAAAATTCTAATCCTTACAAGACCTTAAACTGTGTTTTTCAATTTTTCAATGGCATGGGTATGGGGTGAAAAACGAGGAAATCAGCTGATCCGAGGAAAAGTTGCATGCCTGAGGCTCAAAGATTGAACATGTATGCAGTCTTCAGGCAGCAAGGGACTGGTGCTGAAAGCAAATATCGTTCCGCATCAATGCCTCGGAGTTTCAAACAAGCCGGCAAGATGTACCGGGTTCCATAACAAACATTGTACAAATCTTGACCAAAGGACCACCGAGGGTCAGAATATGCTGCGAGTCCAATTTGTACAGGGCTGTGGTTCAGCTCTCTTGTTTAAACAGTCGATATTTTGGGCTTAGAAAAATACCATGCCCGGGACAAGTTGGTTGTGGAATCATGACCCCGGCAAGTTGTGAGGAGAGCAAACTGGTAAACTGGGAAGCAGCTAAGGCAGCAATGAAGCGTCATGCTTAGCAAATAACAAGTACTTAAAAAAGAGCTTTAAAAAAGGCCCTGAGTACCTTGATGTTGTGTTTCTTTTTCTTCTGCAGCAAACGTTCAGGACAAATTTGCAGTGTTAGCATTTTGATCAAACAGGGGAATGAGAAAGAGAGAATAATGGAAATAAAAGAAGCTGGCAATAGATGAGAATCTAGAAGTGGAGTCAGAAAAGTTTGTCAAGTTTTCATTCACAGCCGTAAGGAAAAATGAGCAATTTCAGTTGAATGCCTGTTGCTTTTTTTGGTGGATAGATGCTGGATTTGTGGGCTCCTTACGCAAGAAATTTGTTGCTGATGACATGCAAAATACTGCTATCGACAGAGAGGCCAAATCAAATTTGCTGTGCCTAGTGGCTATCTCCTCACCACCCGGCAATAACACATACATCTTAGGAGTCACTGGCTAACAGCCGTAGCCATTGACAGTGGCTATTTGGGGAGGGGGACGGAAGACAAGGAAGGATAGAGATATGGGTATTACCCCCCAACACCAAACATTTGGGGACAAGTGCCTTTTTTCCCAAAATGCCTGTTTTCTTCTAACATTTTGTAATAAGTGGCACTGTTCCCCCCATAAGTGTCCTTTTTTTAATTGGCCACTTTTCACACATTGCTCTTTGCAGTTAGATGTCACACCCAACGTCAGAAACACTGCATGGCCACACGAAGAGGGCGGCCTAATGTCCAATTTCAGCGGCACCACAATTAGAAAGATGGTACTGAGCCACCCTGCATGTATGGAATTTGAAGCTCTCTGCTTGGGTGGCTCTATTTTAGCATTAAAAAAAAAACAGTTGATACAACAACAGTGTGATTTTCAGGAGATCGCAAACTGCGATTCAGCTTGGATGAATTTTTTTTGGTTCACAGGCAAATGGACATTTCTGCATTAACTGCTCTCTTATTGCAAACCAATGCAGGGAATGATACTTACATTAGTGAGATGGTTATTACAGTCAAACGCCACACAGTGCAGTGGGACCTGCCGTCCTGCGGTGAACTGCTCAATGTACTCCACCAGAACTTCTGCGTTCTGATCGGGACTAGAGAGTTTTGAAAAAGTGGACAACACCCTCAAAAATGAATTTGATAATAAGCTGGATCCAAATGACAAAGCTGATCAAACAATGTTGTTGAAGAAAATCAAATTAAAAAAAACCTTGACTATACAATTGGTCTCAAAACTGTGAGTGAAATGCCACGTGTAGAGAATATGCCAGCGAGAAGGCTAAACGGGTATTTTTCATACACATGTTTTTTGCATGTGACTGGACGCCACAGAATATTCGTGTATAGCTTAACATATCATCACAGGCTGTCACACAGTGTATTCGGCTCACAGAAAACTCCCAGCTTTTATACAAATGCCGTGTCTTGAGGTTTTTAAGATATCCATGGAACGGTTCAGAAAGGTGTAGGCACACTCCACTGAGCAGAAACTAGCCAGGCAGCCAATCAAGTTCTGTTCCTCTCCCACCGTAGTTACAACGTACCTGCCAGGCTTTCAAAATCTGGGCGTCATCACATTTAAACTGTGGGGCACTGCATGTACATTCCGGAATCTTTCTTCAATACACATTATTACAAGGCTAAAATGGGCTGTCAATGATTATCTGAAATGACTTCTAATTTAACTAAAATATCCAAGTCTAAGATTCCTAGAGATGCACGAGAAAGTGGAAAGTTCAACGTCCCCTCCACTGCATTTCAGTTCTTGCTATCGATCCACATCATGCTAACAATGTGGAAATCGGAGAGCATGTCTATGGGCAGCGCTCCATTATGCAAGCAGCTTTCAATTCGATGGATTTTTCGAGTCACTTATTATTCTACATATTCGTAGACTTACCAGCTTCCTAAGACCAGAACAATAGAGTCGATGTCCTTGACCTTAAGGGCTTTCTTGAGGGCGGCTAACAGGTTGCAGCCCCCTATGCCTGATAGGCTGTTAACCCAATAGCGTGCTTCATCCAGGCTACGGAGAGAGATCACGCCCCTTCAATTTTAATATCTAACAAATATCACCAATAGAGCATCATATGATATAAATCTATAAATGTGATCGGATCCCATGAAATGAGTCTTAATCCTATTGGTTTACATAGCACAAGAATTTTTGTGAGGTCTTCAAGTGGGTCCGGTGACTTGTGATTTATTGTGTTATGTTGGGTAGCAAATTTCACATGGATTGGGAACACACATATTGTTTTCTTTTGTTCTCAGTAGATAATTGGCCACGAGCAAAAGCACCCCCTCAATGGTTGAAAAGAGTCATGTTGGTTGGGAGTGTTCGTTCTCTTGGTAGCAACGTGACCGTAACGACTGCATTTCATAGTTGTCAGTGAACTGGGTAAGTGCAGCTCCAACCAAAGAAGCCTGAGTTGCTAGGAAAAAGTGCGTCCTCTCATGGTCCAGCGTGGGGCTCATACTAATGAGCGAATGTATGTGTCAAGTCAGCTGAGAAAAAGACGCACGCAACGAACATCACGATATGTTAGCTGGTAACGTTTTTTTACAAAACAAACCCTTTTTGCGACAGGCAAAAATGTCAGTAACCAGTATTTCAACAGCGCGTGCACAAAATGAAGCGCACTGTGGATCATTGTACAGTCATTTGCAAAAGTTTAAGACCACCTGAAATTTTATTGGTATTTCTGTCACTGGGCCTGCATTACACTGTCTCACTGAATGATTACTTCACATGATTTTACAGTGGTGCATAACACTGGTGTAGTGCTATATACCCATTTGAATGAAATTTTTTGCAAAGGCAGGTCTTGTATGACATTTTGTCTGCAAGGCAGCATGGGTAAACAAAAGTCAGTCTAAGCAATCAGAAATAAGGGAGGGCACACTGAATATTAGACTGTTAACATGTCAAATCATGGAAATGTAGTCAAAATGTTTAACCAAGGTACCAAGGATACACACTTAAAATAAACATCAGTTGCCATGATTGATTGGTTTAAAGTTTGGTTTTCCTTCAGGTTAACGCATTTTCTATGGGTGGTCCTAAACTTTTGCCAATGACTGTAGATCACTGTAGGTCGGCTATATCAGCCTGGTCATTTGGCAAATCACAACCAATGTAAATGGCTCATTTCAGCTCTCTGCAGCTTGCTCTTGGCCCACTGCTTAAAGCACGGCAGCACTTACATCCTGACGTTGGTGTATCTCGGTGTATGCCACAACTCATCCGTCTCTGTGCCAAATGACATCAGGTACAACATCTCCCGGTTGTGTAGCTGCTCGTCAATCAATTCCTGCACAAAGTTAGTTCACAGGAAGACAGCAACTAAGTTTATCGCAACTCGGCGTCAAGATATCGAGAGATCTGTCACTAAAACAGCCAATTCTGTGACAGCTCTGACTGCCTGCCTACACCCTGCTGCTCGGACAGGCCTAGCTTCTTTCGTATGCTAACTCCAACTGTGAAAGTTTGTGCAAAGCTGACAGAGTGCTGCAACCCAAGGACTGATGCACCATCTTTTAAATTCCAACAGAGTAGAAATATTAAACTCTATCTGAAGTTGTAATTTGGGCACCACACTCTTATCTTCTTTTTCTGAAGCCAAACTGGTCAGTGAATCTTCCACTGCATTTGGAATTCAGTGAGGGCTTAAACCTGGAAGCTGGCAAACCGATGAAAACGTGGAGGCGTGAATATCAAACACGACTGAGCATACAGGGTTTAAAAACTGGGTGAAAACCCTGTGTTTTAGATATATATTTCTCACCGTTAACGACTCTCTGAAGTGGCTGATCCGACCAAAGCCGCAGTTGGAGTCGGAGCTGTCGAGGACCAGGGCTACCTTGTTCCCCTTGATCATGCCAAATGTCTTCTTGCTGCCCTTCAAAAGCCAGCGGATGCGGTTGTGGTACATCTCGATGCTCCTGGGGTGAGAAGCAGCACAGCAAGTTTCTCACTCTCCGAGTGATGTGGGACTCGGAGGCTATTTGACCCTGGGAACAGCTGACCTTTGTCAGCCAGAGGGGTGTCTGGGTAACTGTTGGACACCCCGTGTGTGGTTTTGGACACCTTGTTTTGTTACACATATGGGTAATTCCAGCAATTAGGGGTCTTTTTTTTGTGTCCGTCACATCTGACATATGATTTTGTAAGTTCAGAACACATTTTCTAATTTCCAAGAGGGATGAATTAATATGCAAATTACCTGCCAAACAAATAGTAATAGTTTGAAATCAATTCTGCTGATATTTCCAAGTCAAATAACAAAGGTCAGATGTAACAGGAACATGAAAATGTCAAACTTTTGGACCCCTAATTTCTGGAATCACCCATATACAAAAACAGCACAGACTACAGGTGCCTTTGTTTTTCACGTGACATCAAATGTGGATATCCCATTTTTCAATGCCAGCTAAAACCATTGCACGTTTACATCACTTTAGCTAAAGTAAAAGCTAAAAGCTGAAGAAATAAGGTGGAACAAGACTTCACGCTAGTCCTTCTGACGAGTACCTCAATCTCAGTGAAATCAGCAGATCGATACATTGAGTGGGCTACTATTACTCACTCGTACAGCTTGTACTCAAACGCGTTGACGATGCTGGCCTCAAACTGGAGCTCTCTTGGCGGGCCATCGGAGCGCTGGTTGTGGTTGTTCTTAGGTCTGGAAAGCAACACGCAGGAAAAGAATTAAAAATCAGAAACAAAGCTCACATGCAACAGTATGACGGAAGTTTCCTTGATACCCCGAAGCTCACTCCAAGCCTATAGTTTTCACCAACACAAGTCACTCTGAATGGCATGAGTCATACAGACCTTATTTGATCTGTTAAAAACTTTCCAAAACCTGATCTATCAATTGAAAGTTTTCGAAACTGACTATTCGGAAGCGAAAATCAATTAATAAGAAAATTGTTGAAGAATTTTGAAAATGGAAAATCTTGAAAAGGACCCGGCATCTTGTCTTGCTCAAGAAAAATCCACCCGGCAGCAAGTGGTTAAGCACTGACCTGACGATCTGGCCTTTGCTGAGCAAGTCCTTGAGGGTTAGGCTGAAGTGCTCGATGCTGTGATTCTTCAACCAATCGGTAGAGGTCTGACCCTCGTTAAACATGGCCGCCATGTCTCGGGCCCTCTGTGGGAACAAATATCAGCTTAAAGGATTCATAGGTGGGTAATATATACACACGCATCTCTTCGCATAACCCTAACCCTGCCAGAGGCAGAACAGTGCATCAGGTGAAAAAGCCTGATGCACTTTGAAGCTCTGGGCAATCAACAGCAGAAGAACTATCTGGCCATGCTGAGACAGCGGGAGCTAGTCCCAGTTGGATCTTGTAGTGATTGGCAACCACAGACTCCTATGTAGTTTGGTCTTGAGTAGCCTTGGTCAAGGCGTTTGTCATTCGTCCCAGCGCAAAGCAGTGCGCACCAGCTGCTCGCTGACCTAGTACGTACCTTTGTATGTACATACCTGCATACATTGCAAAATCAAGGCGAAGAGCGACCTCACGTGGCCTAAGAAATATGCAAATCAACTGAACCAGGACGAACGCCTTGGTGCAACCATCTGCGGAAGCTTATGTTTTTCTTTACTTTTGTGCTAGATTTCTAGGACACGACCTCGTATGCGACTATGATTAGATGCAGGCGTGCGATGAGTGCACAGTGACCAATCTCAGCTATATGCATAATGCATCAACTTGAACTGGCATGCATGATAATTATGTAAAATGGCGGACATTCCAAGACAACTGCAGCACAATGAGTTGTCTTGTTGCTTGAATTCCGCAACGGATAAATTAACGGGTGATTTTGTCATTTGTCAATGCAAAACTGGAGGTCGCTGACCTAGTCTGAATTGCAACCAATGAAGCCAGATAGCGTTTGTCCACTAATTTAAATCGTTGGAACAAATCAATCACAATCAGAAAAGCAAAGCAAAGGCGAATTCAATCACCGATTATTCTGATCAGCTGGCAAAATAAATTTTATTGACTTGTCATGTACATGTATAGCCATGTGTGCGTTCAGTTGACCTTTCACCTTGCGACCAACTGGAATTATACAGTTACTATGTAGCAATGAACCAATCTAACGGCGTATTTAAAACATTGGCTCTTGTCATTAGCATAATGACCACTGCCGAATACAGCTTCTGTGGACGGTTGCACCAAGGCGTTCATCCTGGTTCAGCTGATTTGCATATTTCTCAGGCCGCGTGAGGTCGCTCTTCGCCTTGATTTTGCGATGTATACAGGTAAATACGTACGGAGGTACGCACTAGGTCAGTGAGCGGCTGGTGTGCACTGCCCTGCGCTGCAACGAATGCCATGACCAAGGCTAGGTCTTGGGGAGAGTTGACCTGTTGGATCTTGTTACACCGGGCAGGCAATCCACTTTGACAAACGACACAGTCCGATGCATCTGGCAGGGTTTCTAGCCAAGTACCCTTGGAGGGTTTGATAGGGATAATTGTTGAAAACCTCTTCTTACAAAGCAAATATTTTTGTTTTAAAAATTAACAAAGAAATTGACTTAAGTGGGATTTGAACCTGTGACCTTTGAAACACCGTACCAGTGCTCCATCAAAGAAATTAATAGGCCCCATTAAAACCACCTTTTTCTAATTATTTTTCTGAAACCAGTTTTTGGATCTTTTGTGTGGGGGGAGGTGTGTGACCCCCATTGCCTTCTCTCCGATCCATCCTTGCATTAACGATGTTGGAAACCTGGAAAATGGAAACTAATTTTTAGCTGGGTAAAGTTTCAGACACTGTTTTTGACACTCTCAACCAACTTCCAGGAGGTTTTAGTCAGGTCTAAGATAGCTTGGTGTTTTATATCCTCAACTTGGTCTGGTCGTAACATTTTGCCAGCTGAGACGAAACTAAGAAGAGAGTCTTCAACTCACCACCCTGTCGTGGGTCTGGTTGATGTGTGTCACCGTCAGGTCGGGGGTGGGCACGGCCCCGCGAACGGATGGCTGCACCCAGGGAGGCCTCTCTTCCAGCGACCGACGGGCTCTCTCTCTGGAACTGGCACTTCGCTTCTTCGTCCGTTGACTCTGGGTCAGGAACGTCTGTTTGGCAGTTTTAGGCCTCCTATTACACAAGATACATGAACAGGTATTTAGTTCTGAGTGAAAAATCCATTTGGGTCATACAAGGTTTGGCTGGGCTCAGGTCATGCTTGAATTGGCTGGGGTCATGCTAGGGCTTGGCTGGGGTCATGCTAGGGCTTGGCTGGGGTCATGCTAGGGCTTGGCTGGGGTCATGCTAGGGCTTGGCTGGGGTCANAGGAAAAATCCACCCGGCAGCAAGTGGTTAAGCACTGACCTGACGATCTGGCCTTTGCTGAGCAAGTCCTTGAGGGTTAGGCTGAAGTGCTCAATGCTGTGATTCTTCAGCCAATCGGTAGAGGTCTGACCCTCGTTAAACATGGCCGCCATGTCTCGGGCCCTCTGTGGGAACAAATATCAGCTTACAGGATTCATAGGTGGGTAATATATACACACGCATCTCTTCCCATAACCCTAACCCTGCCAGAGACAGCACAGTGCATCAGGTGAAAAAGTCTGATGCACTTTGAAGCTCTGGGCAACCAACAGCAGCCCAACTAACTGGCCATGCTGAGACAGTGTGAGCTAGTCCCAGTTGGATCTTGTAGTGACTGGCAACCACAGACTCCTATGTTGTTTGGTCTTGGGTAGCCTTGGTCAAGGCCTTTGTCATTCGTCCCAGCGCAGAGCAGTGTGCACCAGCCACTCGCTGACCTAGTACGTACAGGGTATGTACATACCTGCATACGTTGCAAAATCAAGGCGAAGAGCGACCTCACGTGGCCTAAGAAATATGCAAATCAACTGAACCAGGACGAACGCCGTTTTTCTTTACTTTTGCGCTAGATTTTTTGGACACGACCTCGTATGTGAATATGAATAGATACAGGCATGTGATGAGAGCACAGTGACCAATCGCAGCTAAGTGTACATATGCATAATGCCTCAACGTGAACTGGCATGCATGATAACCATGTAAAATGGCGGACATTCCGAGACGACTGCAGCACAACGAGTTGTCTTGTTGCTTGAAATTCGCGGCAGATAAATTAAAACATCGGCTGTTGTCATTAGCATGACCACCTCCCAATACAGCTTCCGCGGACGGTTGAACCAAGGCGTTTGTCCTGGTTCAGCTGATTTGGATATTTCTCAGGCCGCGTGAGGTCGCTCTTCGCCTTGATTTTGCGATGTATGCAGGTAAATACGTACACAGGAACGTACTAGGTCTGCGCTGCGACGAATGCCTTGACCAAGGCTAGGTCTTGGGGAGAGTTGACCTGTTGGATCTTGTTACACCGGGCAGGCAATCCACTTTGACAAACGACACAGGCTTCTAGCCAAGTACCCTTAGAGGGTTTAATAGGGATAATTGTTGAAAGCCTCTTCTTACAAAGTAAATATTTTTGTTTTAAAATTGAACAAAGAAATTGACTTAAGTGGGATCTGAACCTGTGACCTTTGAAACACCGTACCAGTGCTCTATCAAGGAAATTAATAGGCCCCATTAAAACTACCTTTTTCTAATTATTTTTCTGAAACCAGTTTTTGGATCTTTTGTGTGGGGGGAGGTGTGTGACCCCCATTGCCCTTTCTCCGATCCATCCTTGCATTAACTATGTTGGAAACCTGGAAAATGGAAACTAATTTTTAGCTGGGTAAAGTTTCAGACACTGTTTTTGACACTCTCAACCAACTTCCAGGAGGTTTTAGTCAGGTCTAAGATAGCTTGGTGTTTTATATCCTCAACTTGGTCTGGTCGTAACATTTTGACAGCGGAGACGAAACTAAGAAGAGAGTCTTCAACTCACCACCCTGTCGTGGGTCTGGTTGATGTGTGTCACCGTCAGGTCGGGGGTGGGCACGGCCCCGCGAACAGATGGCTGCACCCAGGGAGGCCTCTCTTCCAGCGACCGATGGGCTCTCTCTCTGGAACTGGCACTTCGCTTCTTCGTCCGTTGACTCTGGGTCAGGAACGTCTGTTTGGCAGTTTTAGGCCTCCTGTTACACAAGATACATGAACAGGTATTTAGTTCCGAGTGAAAAACCCATTTGGGTCATACAAGGTTTGGCTGGGGTCATGCTAGGGCTTGGCCGGGGTCATGCTAGGGCTTGGCTGGGGTCATGCTAGGGCTTGGCCGGGGTCATGCTAGGGCTTGGCTGGGGTCATGCTAGGGCTTGGCCGGGGTCNCTTGGCTGGGGTCACACAAGGGCTTGGCTGGGGTCATGCTAGGGCTTGGCTGGGGTCATGCTAGGGCTTGGCTGGGGTCATGCTAGGGCTTGGCTGGGGTCATGCTAGGGCTTGGCTGGGGTCATGCTAGGGCTTGGCTGGGCCAGGGTCATCCTGGGCTTGGCTGAGCTAGGGTCATGCTAGGCTTGGCTGGTTTAATCTAGTTTGTACATGCATTCGGTAGCCACGAGTTAGGTTGGAATACTGTGGCCTCAATTTACATCGCACATAAAAATGCACTAAACAGACTTGGTGGATTTTTTTTTTCAATTTCAAAATCAAGTTTAAAAAGTTCTTTTCGGCCACAGTGTGGTTGGAAATCATAAAAAAGTAATAAAGAGAATATGAAATGATTGCACGAGGCTGCAAACGATTCTTTTGACAGAAAAGGAAGTTTCCGAACTTCTGTGAACTTGCCATCGCTCTTTGATTAGGCCTATCAAAACACGAGACAAAGTTTCATAAGTATGGTGATGTCTGTCTATTGAGCTGACTGACCTCATCGACGTCTGGTCCCCTTGGCCCCTTCTGTCAGGAATATTAATGTCTTCCTCATCAGAGTCGTCCATTGTGTATGTTGCCGATGTACCTGGCCTGATGGGAAAGATACCAATATGAATTTGACTACTGATTGAATATGCAATTTGGCCACACATCAGATTAGGTACAGCAAACACTTGTTTTACAGCTTAGTGCATGGCACAAAAAAAAGCTAGGCCTACCCTGCAACTTCAGCAAAGTTATGCAATTTCATTCTGTCACGTCTGTGGGAAAGAGTTCCTTACACAGACATCACTAAGTTCCCCTTACAGCATGTACAGTACAGTGGTTTACTAGCCATTAGAAGGAGATAACATGTCCTAAGAAGTCTAGTTAAGCAGGGAAAACATTGGGCATTTACTTAGAAAACACTATGTCAAGTGATGTCCAAATAAGGTCTTACTCATTACCGTCAACACACGATAGTAATGTCAACACAGCGTCAACTCCTCGAAAATACTCGTTCAATCAACAAAAGAGGCCTAGAAATGTAATAACTGGGCTGAAAGAGACTTTCTGGTAGTTGGAAGTCATGAATCAATTTTCAAAATGGAGTTTTTGCACACACAAAAAATGATCTGGACTGTTCGCCGCCATCTTGCCTTCTCATGGGGCTTGGACTGTACCGATCAAATCTAACCATTTCCTTAGTCGTCTAGAATTGCTAGATTTCACCTTTTCTCTGGTCTGGTAACATTAAAAGCAGATGCACTAATGTCAAATTCATCTTCTGATGCAGGAAACTCTCATCCCAAACTGATTTACTCAGAGCATATGTGGGAGAGGAAACTGGAGACATATCTGGGCAAGGAACTTAACGAGCTGGAGATGGGTTTGCTGGAGGCAGAACTGGGGATGGAGACAGACTTGCATGGGGTGGAAGTGGAGACCGAGGTGGACTGATCAGCAGGCTTAAACATGTTATTTCTCTTATAGTTTTCAAAAATCTTTACTTGGTAGTATTTCCATGTTTCTCTATTGTATCAAGATTGTTTTGTCTCCGTTAGAGGAGGGTAAAATGCCTCAGGTATATGTACATGTACCAGCAGTTTGTACCTCCAGATAGCATGTAACATAAACACTGGTGTATGACATTTTTCCCCCATTGGCTAACAGGTGGTAGTTCCTTGTTAATTAACAAATTCCTGCCAAGTCTTTAGAGAAGGCCGGTGAAAGGGAATATAGTTCGACTCTTCGAATTGAAATAAATTTATACTCGATTAGATTCTAACTTAAGAGCAAACTGATGTCTATTTTGCGTACTTTGTAAAATTATTTCTTTGACTTTTGCCATTTATGTGCTTTATTATTCAGTGTGCGTGGGGGGGGTCAAAAAGCAAATGCAGCTTTGGGCTTGTTCAACGTAATGTCGGGGGAACAAATGGCAAAAGTCTACCCATGGTCCCAAGATCTTCGCACTTTATGTTGCCATATTTTCAGAGGGTTTTGCTGCTAATATTTTACAGATAATTATACTGATTATTTCCTGTCCTACTCTTCTGTATTTTTTTGGTGTTTTTTTGCTGTTGTTGCCTTCCTGCTGGATTCATCACTTGGTGTATTGAAGTCACATTCGCAGCCAGACGTTTAATCGAGATGGCAGTAAATTTAAATGCTTTTTAAGAGATTAAAAATCAATATAGCAGAAACAACATCATAGATTTTATTTAACACCGTTATTGTTAAAATATGAAAAGGGACAACTACTCAATCTTAAGAAAAATAAAAATATAGTCACTTTAAAGGAAAATTGTTGTAATGACTGCCCTCTGTTTCTTTATCATATAATATTATCACCCCTCTGGCGTAATGGTATGATCCCAGCTGCCCCAGAGGCAACATGGCTGCTGATTTCTGAGCTGGTTTGAAGGAGGCAATTTTGGCAAAAATAAAACAGCAATTTCCCAGAGTCGAAAATGTTGAGGTTTAGCCAGAAAACACTTTACGGTCGAGTACCGCTTCTTTGGGTTTTAACATGTTTTGGAGGTGTTGACGCTGTGTTGATGGTTCGTTGCATGTTGACGGTAATTTGTATGACCGTCCGGATATCAATCTCTTTCCAGAACTAAATGTGAAGACTTAAAAAACACTTGTTTTTAAGACGTCTGGCACAGGGTGTCAACATGGTCTTGTCATATCGTGTATGAAACTCTTTCCTTTACTTCCTGAAGTCTAGGCCAGCCTAGGTTCTATAAAAAACCTTACAGTTCTGGCACTGGCATGATTGGCTGGAACTTTGGAAGTATCTTTCTCTACTAAACATGCCTCATGAATATAGCTAGGCCTAGTAGTAGAATATTTTCCAATATTTTTGCACAAAAGTGCTTAATGTGCATGATTTGTTGATGCTGTGACACTGTGTTGATGCCTGTTGATGCTAAATTGCTTAATCTTAGTCTGTTCGAGCATTTAACTTAAGGGTCGGGCTAAGTGGCAGTCATTCCTCCATGGACATGGTGTATCATCACTGTATGTAGTGAAGTTAGTGTGGTAAGTCTGCAGTGCAGAAATCAGTCCACCATGTCCACAGAGCAAGGTTCCTTGCTCTATGGCTGATCAGACGATCATTATGATCAGTCTTGTCAGTTAAACGGTTTAGAGTCACTTCGCCCAATTTCCACGTCGGCCCTCACCACTTAGCCCCTAACCACTTCGTCCCATCCCCACCTCGCCCCATCCCCCACATCACCCCATCTCCACTTCGCCCCATTTCAACTTTGCCGTCCGTTTTGAGTGTGTTACAACTTACAAGCCTCTTCAAAAAATGGTTGAGAGAGGAGTTCCACAAACGAAATGTAGTTATTATTGAAAAGCCTACGGCATTAAATTAATGTCTCCTGCATTGTCCATAATGATGAATTAATGCGTGGTTGGACAAGCATCGGGGTTATTTCTCATCCTCTTCAAGTTTATTTCAAAGCGACACACACAATTCTGTGCACATCATTTCTGGTCATTTTCGATGCATCCAGACAGCTGTACCCGGGCGATTGGATAAAGCTTGGTGTGCAGGAAATTTTGTGAAACATGCTCGCTTCAAGTACGAGCAAAACAACCTAAAATTTAACTGATGAACACAGAAAATACAAACATAGACAAGATACTAAGAATTAACGTGAAGAAATATTAAAAACATCGATTTATTTTTTGCGTGACGGATCATGTACATGAACAGTCACCGCGGCATGAATAGACTGGTTGTCACACTCCATCACGCATTCTCTTACAAGGGTGTGGCGTGGCGGGAACCAGTGCTTTGTGCTCGTGTTTTTACCACAGCAACAACGAAACACGAAGAAAGCTTTTTTCTAACTTGCCAATAAAAATTTAAATGTCTCGCCAAAACATTGGTGCAGCGATCGGGAAATCGGAATCATTGTTTTGGCCTTTGAAAGTTGGATTATCCTATCGTTATTTGGGTACTTAAACGTCAATGTTTTAACTTGTTGCATCTATCGAAGCCTATGGCTATGGTATGCCTCTGTTACTGAAGAACAGAATGAATGATAATCAATGGGCGAAGTGGAAAAGGGGTGAAGTGGTAATGGGGCAAAGTGGCAAGAGGCGAAGTGGAAATGGGGCGAAGTGACCGACGCCCAGTTGAACCATAGAACAAGGAACCTTGCTCCAGTAATTAAATTAGTATCAACACTGATCAATGGGGGTATGCCTGTGCTATGGTTGAACATTGTCATGATTGTCTGACAGTGTCTGATTTCAGACTTTACCTTTGAAAGTCCCCGTTCATCATAGCTGTATGGCTTTAGAATGCATCAATTCATGTTACTCGAAACCAATGCTCATATCTCTATTGCTACTATTCTAGTGGACAAACGATGAAAAACTGGCGATAAAAAACAGCGCGGCGTCTTAGTGCATGCAGCTGATTGTCCTGGTTGCCAATAGTATTTCATCGAGCATGCGTACAAATCAGCAACAATTACCAGAGCAGTACCTAGAAGAAATTTGCTTCGAAACCGTTTATGTGACCGAGGCAACAAGAAGTACCAGACTTTCCTGTTTTGCCGTTGGGGCGCTATAACCGAAGAGTTTACATGATCCAAAACACTTTTGTGAAATAAAAATCAATAATAGGGATTGATAACATAAACTTCTGTCGTAATTACCTAAGTTGCCGAATCAAAGTGGGAATTTAATTCCTCAGAGATAAAATTAACTTTGGAAAAAAAAATGAATTTTATTCACACGCTATATTCAACAATTAGCCGCTCACCTACGTCGGCCGCGTGGCCTAACGGATAAGGCGTCCGACTTCGGATCGGAAGATTGAGGGTTCGAGTCCCTTCGTGGTCGTTTTTGTTTTCTTTTTAAATGAAATCTCTTTTTCATGTGGCAATCAACCAATTAGCCTTTTTGAACTTTAGCCGACACAATAGGAGGGCGCTTGAGTATATTTGGAGTAAACAAAGATTCTGCCCAAAACAGGCTGACTGGGATAACGATGATTGTGTGTACAATTGGAGGAAGGCCTACGTCCGTTTTTTTTCAAATTTAACGAGGTTATTACCATGAGATCCCGGTTTTAAGCTCAGTTTTCCCTACGTCCATGCTCAGGAAAGTCAGACGTCTGTGTGGCAACGGTATAAATGATGACAAAATAAAAAATAAAACTGCGGATCAGAAAGGCCCAAGGGAGGTGGTGTTTCCGAGAAAAAGTGTACAGTCAAAGTTATGTCAAAATGGCCTTTAAACTGCATTCAAAATTTAAATCTATCGTTAGGGCTCCCTTTTTAAGACTTTTTTCCAGCCAGCCCCGTTGAGAGGACCTTGCTTATGAAAAAGTAGGTTTTATGACCGGACCCAGGTACAAAAACAGCGGTGATATACAGGTGCGATACGATTTCGCCCGTTCCTACCCCCAAACATTAACGTATGCGCAGCGACAGTCGACGTCCACGGTACGGGCATCACTACCACCAGACCGAGCGGTACCGCACCATAACCGAAACATACCCACAGACAGGCACCATGTACATGTACATGTACATGTACATGGTGTACAAACCGCACACACGAACAACCGTAAGGTATCTTGACACTGACTCCGAGGGTATTGTGTTGACTACCATGTACCAATAGAATATCTCTTTGTACTCAGCTATAGAAACAAAGACTCAAAAACAAGTGAGAAGTACAGTGCACTTTGCCTGGTTTATTCAGTCATCTGTATGACAGCAGCATGGCTTTTTAAAGAAATTTTATTTTTTGTTGTCGACTGACCAACCCTCCCTCAATTGAAAAGAGATACGAGAACTATATAGAACATAAAAAGGGTGCTCTTTTGTAATGACACAAAAAATCCACAAAAGTCACTGCAGCTTCGGAAATGATAAAAAAAACCAAAACAAAAACAAACAAACAAACAAACAAACAAAAACAAACAAACAAACAAACAAAAAACTAGATATATACTTGGGAATAATAAAAACATAATGCTGACAACTAATTGGCGTTAATTTGTGCCAGGAACTGAGGGGTTGGGTAGGAGGATGGCTTGCAAGGCCATGGAATTTGAAAAGCGGAAAGGGGAGGGGTGTTGACATCATAATGGGGGCGATGTTCATGATATGCATGAACTTGTAATATAAACCTCTGCACTGAACACATTTTGGTTAGTGGGAAGTCTGACCACTTCTCCACAACCACCCTTATTTTTTGCCACGAAATAGTGGGTGGGGGTTGATTCAACAGTACCCCCCCCCCTCAAAATATGGGGAAAATGTCGTACACTCCATTCTGCGAAATTTGCGCCGATTTAACTACATGTGAGTAAAAAATTTCATCAGCTGAAATTTGGGAAAGAAAATGGAAGATCAACTTAAAGACGGTCTTCAGGAAAACTCCTCACTGCACTGGACTGCGAACTCAGAGCTCTTATGAAGGAAAACGAAACAAGTCAAGAAAACAAAACAAAACGCAATGTCTACTCGATTTAAGCTATATGAAATCTTAAACTGACTTAGTAACTGGAATAATTAGCTCCAAAACAAATGCTTCTATTCTCAACCTTGTGTAACTGCACTCATCGTGCTGGAGGCAAGGGCAGTGCACAAGTTAAGCCGCTATACTGTAACTTTGGTTGAAGCGGTTGACTTATTACGGATTACAAAACCGCAGCCAAGAACGCTGTTGCTATGGTCCCGCTGGTGTCAATTGTGGTGGCGCTCAAAACCATGCATGCACAACCCAACTGTCAATAATTTGCCGGCCTAACACACGCACATGTACATGTACACTGGTGTTCGGGGACGTGGGCACACAGCAGTACGGTAGCCACAGGTCATGGACAAGTCTTTCAACTTGTTTATCGTGTACCTCCACAGAATAGGTAGGAATTTCCACGTTTCTGAATTCCTCATGATGTCAGTTTAAAATCATTTTTGTTGGGATACAAGTAAACGGTTTGGGACACACACATGTACCTTTGCCTGGCAGTTCTTGCCTCTTGTAGGTTGGTGGTGTGTGGATGCCTTCCCTGTCCCCGTGACAAGTTGGACCATGGTTAGACCGTTCCAACGACACCATAAACATTGTACATGTACACTACCGTTTTACCGTGAGCCCGCTTTCGACCCTAGTTCAGTTGTTGCCACTTGTCAAAACACACGGATGTTGCCGATTTTGTCTTCTGCCTGCGCCTTAATCCAGCAGTAATACTATGACAAGTCCATAACTTCATTTTCCCAATAAATCTTACCGTTAATCAGGGAAAGACCTCAGAAATTTGTTCAATTGAAAATCGATTACTTCACACCATGTCACACGTTAACAATGGCTTTCCCCATACCGTAAAAGTACGATGGCATCGATTCCATCTTTGGAAATGCGTTGAAAAATGACTGCCTATACGGACGATTGTTAACCGTTTCAGTCAAGACTCATGGTGCCGGTAGTCTTGGTAGATGCATGTAAGGCCAAGAAAAAAAGGAAACTTATTAAACTAACGTCAGAATGGTACGTCACGCAGTTTTTCACAGTATTTACCATCAACATTTACAGTTTGTGGCATTTTTTATGTCGTGATTGTCATTAATTGCCCCAATTAATCCCCAATAATGTTCTGAAGCTTCATATTGTTTTTGGTCGATGTGCACTTGTTACATTTCACAATGATAGAGTCCTGGACTTGTTGATGAATCATGATTAACACAAAAGCCAGACTTTGGATTAGGAGAATATTGCCGCGACCTTTGGCCCCACTGAAGTGTTGGTCTATTGTCGGAGGAAGGGAATTGAGGCAATCATTAAACAAATCCCAAATCCTGCTGTCCAATAATTACATTAGGACGTTTGATTATTATGTCATTCGCTCGAAAATATCTCTAACGATAAAAACCTGCATTTTGGGCCAGACGGGTTAAAACCCGCCAAGAATTCGTCCAGGTATACAAATTCAGCATTAAGAAAAATCAACTTTTTGGAAGCCGTAAGGACGCCGCTTTGGAGATTTCTGTCCGAAGCCAGAGTCGGTCAGAGTAAAGGCCGGTTCAAGCGATGAAACGAAAGCAAAAGCATCGCGCCAAATTACGAACCTGCCTATTTAAAACAAGAAAGGCTCATACAAGCAGACCCATACAAAAGCATACCTCACCCGATAGCAGAGGAAAGATGGCCTCTACACAAAACCCAAGCAGTTTGTCTTTTAATATCCAATATTACAAACTAGGATTAGGCCTAATAAATGCACAAAACAAAATCAACAATAAGATCAGGTGGCGCGTAGCGACTGGGGGTGACCCCAATAATTCCAGTCGGCAAACAGAGCTTCGGTCAGCAAATGAATCCGAAATTGAAACAATTGAAGCGATAAACGTTGGCCGTCGGCATTCCCCCTGAAGCATGAAATGTAGCGTACCACAGATTTCCATTTTACACGACACAAATGTTAGCAAACGAGTTACAAGTCGGCAAATGGACTCTCGCACACCCCCAAAGAAAATGCCTTCGCCCCTGCACAGTGTGTGGTGTTTGCTGTCATTCCAGTTTCTTGCTTACACATGATGTTTTGACCTTTTCCTATATACCTGTCTTCTTTCATGACGACGTTTTTCGCCAGGATGCAGCATGACGACCTACCGTAACTCTTCGCTCCAGTAAATGACAAAAACTGTGACAGTCTCTCGTTTCTTCCGGCCCCTGGGGACGCCCATTACTTGTCTAGGGCGTAGTAGGCGGACTGAAACGCTCAAGCCCCGGCTATGGAAATGAATACCACTAACAGTGAGTAGTTCTTCTGAATACGAACATTAGTACTTTATACCAAAGATATACCTCAATTTTCCTCTCTCTGTAATTAAGTAACTCGTCAACAGTCCGTTTTTCCCCGGACATATCAATTATTTCTGTGTGCACCACTGAACGACAGTTGACTGGTTCATTGACATTTGTCTACTCCAAATTAACTTATTTCGCAAATACTGATAGTTTCCCCTTTTGGGGCATTTTAAAATTACTTTTTAACGAATGTACCATGTAAGATCGAACACAGAAAATCTTCCTTGAATTTGGCAGAATACCGGTAGCTAAGGAAATTGGAATCATTCGGAAACTAATGCTTCTCGCAATGCACCATGAAACGATAGCGCTATAAAACACATAATAATGAGCAACATACTTTCAAACTACTTTGGAAGTTCGAAAGCTGAGCGGGAACGTTATCCCTACAATCAGTGCTTGTATACGCCTATTTGCTTGGTGATTACAATAATTATTCTCTATGGATCAGCGACTACAGTATACTGATAAAATGAGCACTTATCAAAACACTGGCCATGAGTAATTATATACATCCTCGGATAATTGGAAGAGAAGTGTTAATGCGACTTACATTTGATAAGCGACAAACTAAAATGATGGATGATCGTGTGTTGAGGTTACATACACTGGGCCTACTAGATCGTGCATTAAGTTGTCCTAATCATACTCGAAGGTCGCATAAATGATGTAGTCAGAAGGCATCGTTTCCTGGCCGCGTTCCTTTCCTTACACGGATCCAAACTACCCAAACTCTAGGTGTATGCACACAGTAGATACATGTAGGCCCCCTACAAGTGAGTTAACGTTTATGGCTCTTCTCGCGCGTGAACTGAAATCCACCGTAAACCAGCCTTATTCCGCCATAATGCGAGCAGTTAATGGATCATGTTGACTCAATTTTCCAATGCACTCTACGGAACAACATTCGACATCCACGTGCTGAATGGAACTAGAAGTACATGTACTTGATTTTGATATACATGTACATGTACATGTACTTGATTTTGACATACATGTACTTGATTTTGACACACGTCTTGATTTTGACATACGTCTTGATTTTTATTCATTTGTGGCTTGAAAGTAAATTTTTAATTTTGTGGTATACATGTATAAGTTAATAATGCGAGCGTGGATGGTTACCGGCACGAGGTAGCGCAAAATACATGGAAATTTAAAAGTGGCCTTTTCAGGGAAACACTTTGAGATGTAAGCTACCGGATTGCGAATCGCTCGCAGTCGCAAGTGTGTCAGTACGATGACGTGTAAAATATGAACCGTAACTTATACAGTTACGGAGCTCTTGACCTCCGTGGAAAATGGAGTACCGCCACAGAAATTGACCAGAAAGGAAAACTGTTCTCATAAACTTAACGGTAGAAGTGGTATTCTATCTTGGGTTTTATTGACTTCATCCCCCCCCCAAAAAAAATATGTTTGAATTGTAGCATCTGCTTTGCAATAAAATTTTGATTTAACACTCGCCTAACATTTTTGTGTCATGGGAATGTTTACTAGCCCGTTCACGTGGGCAACGTTAACTGTAAATCACTTCTTAGTAACGGCACTGTGGAAGATCTGAACTAAGTTGGGGCTAACACGGAACCAATCCGGTTCTTGATGTCAAGGTGTGTTTATTGGTTTTGACATGCGTGTTTTGCTTCGGTACGGTACGCGGTATGCGCAATCCGGCTGATTCGAAACACGACTGGAGGGTAAATGACACCAAATCACGGCTATCGGATCCGGGTTGTTTACTGTTCCCCTCGGCCCAACATGTCCCGGGGACACCGAAAATGCAATCAGATTTGACTTGATGGGATATTGCGTGTCACTCGAAGAGGAAACCCGATAGAGTTCCCTCACTTTCTCCACAGTGGCGATTGTGCTTTTCAACAAACAACCTTTATCCCCGCGATACGATTTTTTTTTCTAAATCAACCCGGTGGACCGAATGTATAGCAGTGACCTTAAGTTTGTATTGAAGCACATATAGAACCCGCACACCACAATCCAGACATTTCAAAAAGATATAGGGATTTCTTTTGGCATATTTCGAATGGGACGTATGGCGTATGCATGTCTTCGGGGAATTCTTTTTTATTCATTTTGAAAGTAGCCGAGAATAGGACCCTTGCACCAACGACGCTGCTTTCCCCCCAGAAAATAATGCCGAAGCCCCGCCCACCCCTTCCCCAAAGATATGATGCTCCGATATTAATTAGCAGGTCAACTAAGATAGGAAAGGAAGATTCGAAACAGAATAAGAGACGTCCATTCTGTTTCGAGGAGAGCTGTGAGCAGAGCTAAGAAGCCAGGAATGAGATCAGCAATATTCATATAGGCCTTTTCTCTGTACAAATAAAGATGGTCTTACACAGGAATCCATGCCAAGACCTGACGCTCCCCCCCCCCATAATGCGATAACAGAACCTCTCATCATCGATTTTCCCGAAATGACCTCGACATGTTCCCGTTCCACCGACCGGTTTCACACACGGAAGCCCCTTGAATCCATCAACCCGCGGCGTACCGGGACAAAGGGCCTATGCAAATACAGCGCGCCGTTGCCCGGATCACCGGTACCCCCAGGAATTTGCAGACGGGCGCAACGGAGCATACAAACCCGGCCCACATTGGTGCTGGAGCAAACTCGGCGGTGCACAGTGACCGGTAACGTATCACTTGTACGCAACAGTCCATTGGCAGAGACATCTGAACGTCATTGTTACGTCATTTTGATAAGTAAACTTTCTGGACGTCACGCTCACCGTGCATGCTCGCGCTCCCGCAGTCCAAGTTACGCTGCCTTCAAGGAGATCTGCAGGAGATTACAAGGCACGGCTCTATATTTAGCGAGTCTGAATGACAATCCGCGATTAGACTCAAAATAGCCGCTCTTTGGAGACTTGGAGCCGATCAACAAAATCTATGCTGGGGACTCGGCGTATCTCAACACGCATGAACACATCGTATGTCGTCTGTGGCACTACGACTTACCCAGCGAATGTATTTGTAAACCGGGGCATTTTGGGACAAAAACGATGAGCGAAACACCGATGATAACGGACGCAACGGAGGACTATGAGAAAAAGAAAAATCAGAAAGGTATGACCGATTTACTTTAACATTTTTAATTAAGAGGATTGGCCACAAAATTAAAGTTTTGATCAGTGTGAGAACTGATCGCCACGTACGTTTGAACACAGACCAGTCGCTGAAACACACGCATGCCAGGCTGACCCAATCGGTTGTTTGGTTTTAAAGCCACGAACAGCTTCGCTTAATACCAACCGTCGAGAAAGATGCCGATTTAATTATTGATAGTAATAACGAAATTCTTTAGAATTTCCATAGCGAGTGTTTGCACTGCAGTCGACATAATGGTCGACAAAGAATGGAAAAAATGGTCGGGCACTCCAGCTGCATTTCACCATGAACGCCATACCTCAAGACGACAGGACATTACACAGATTGATAAACATCAGGGAAACACTTCATCATTGAAATTTAATGTTTTGCTCTTGACCAACGTAATTTCATAATGAGGACTGCACTGAACAAGCACTGCATACGCTGGGCATACAGCGCTTATTAAATTTTCGGGAGAAATCCATTATTAATGCTTACATCTCCCCGGCGCTATGTTCCGTCAACAGTCCAAGATCATTGAAATAACATCGATTATTTTCTTTGTGTTTCCGTGCTCCAACACCGACATAAAATTGATTTCTTAAAAGAGCAATTCACGTGAACCATAATGGATCACAATCGTGGACTATTCGCGAAGCTTGTGCTGTGTATGTACATGTATTCCTTCGACGGCAAACAATTTTACAAAGAGGTATCGAAAACTGCATCCCAAAAACATTTCAAATTAATGAAGCCGCCGTAAAACATGCATGGGATGTTTATTAAGGAAACCTATTATGCGTTTGTGTCGTTGAAACAAATGCAAGAACAGATATCGCCCAAAGGGCATTGGATTAAGCTCTACACTTGCACGACATTATTTTCAACACTAGTCAGTTACCAATAGTGTCTATACTACATATACTAAGCACTATCACCGTGCTATACCATGAGTGGCGATGCTCGTGCTATTAGAATTCAGAATTCTAATAGTTCAGAATTCTCAAATTAATTTAATAACTGCCCCCCCCTTTAAGCAGAAAAGGGGTAATTGTATCGAAGAGACGGTTGCATAAAACTGGAAAAGGTCACAGGCTATCGTTCGGTCGTTCGTATGGCAAAACAAGCATAAGATGTTATTTTCATAGCGAAAAGCGCCCCTCAATAATGTCTGGGCTAAACTCTCACAGATGCATGCAGATGCGATCTAACACGGACTTCCTGCGGGGGAACACAAGCTGCTATGAGCGGTTGGGCACTCCGACACACCCCACTCCCCAAAAAGTGCATGTGCACTGATGAAGTACGCCCCAAGGACTCTCCAATCATCTTAATCCAAATACCAGCGCACTTCCCAGCGATTAGCAGACATGCAGAGCAACCCAGCCAGTGCCATTTATAACTTGTCATCTTCAGCGTCCACTAAAAAACAATGTCAACAGCGTATATATTACTGCTCATCAATATAAGGCAATAAAGGGCTTGCACGAATCCAATACAGCACCAACGCACGCGACATGTACATTAGTTTGCGCTTTTCAAATTGGGGAGGCGACAGTAGCTCGAGGGTTTCACTTGTACCAAGACATTAAACAACCACTTTGGTACCCACAAGACTAGTGGCGCCTGGGCACCTAATGATCGTTACCAAGGCAACTGACCCCAAAGGTCGAAGCAGTGAGAGGGGAGTGGGGCCCGGCGTCAAAATGAACTATCTAAAAGTTCAGAACCAAACACTGAAGCTGAGCAGTGTCTGCTATGTTTGGTCACAAACATACGATTCTATATGTAAGCCTAGTTGATTCCATCTCAAGCTCCCACGGCGAGCGCGACCTACAAGTTACAGTGCGGGAATCACACCACTTTCTGTTTGTTGTCAAGTTGAAATAACAAAGAACTGTTCTCTAACTACATGGCAAAACATGGCGTTCCCTCCAAGTTTGGAAGTCCCTTTTCCTTTCACAAGTATAAGAACGTCGATAAAACATCAGTGAGATCAAATAAAAAAGATGCATCGGAGAGTCACCCGATAAACAAATCAGGAGATTTGGGTATATCAACTGACAACTTTCCCCGATGTTATCCAACCAAATCAAATACGCAGCTAACATCATCCGCGAAGCTCAATGATAGGTGTGACACTATACAGGCCCATCGACATCAAACAGAAGCAAACTGACGCCTTCAAGTACCAACAAAATCAATCAAACATACGCATTTCGCCGTGTATTACAGCCACACGCCCCTGAATTTCACGTACAAACAACAAAACTCAGCTATCCAATATTATGCACACTATATTCAAGCGGACATAACTACACATTGCCCAGTAAGGATCGTTAGTTTTGCAATATTAATGCACCAAGCAGATGAAAAATTTAATAGGTTGCCGTATTATTGTGAAAAGCTGTGCGTGTCAATAATGTAAGATGTATGGATCGCGATCAATGACGAAGCTGCGCATCCCACGAAGAGGCACATCCATCATTATTCTGGAGACGTACGAGCACGAATTTCGACAACATTCAGGCAAAGACGCGTGTTTCAACTTGGGAGGTGGCTAAACATTGACGTCTTGCATTATTCTTTGCAGTGATGCTTTGATAGGCGCACTGCGTCTCACAGCGATGCAGTTCCTTTCTTGTTACACTGTCTTCAGACAGCCGCTTAAGCGGGATGCAAACTGCAGGTGATTCCTCCCGCAAGAAATTAATTCTCTCTTTTGAAATGTATTCGTTTGGTGTATTTCTTTCTACCAAAACGGATGCGGTGGTCGGTTCTTTTCAATTCCCTCACTTGCAACAATAGCTACTGGTATTCAGCCTAAGTGGTATAAATCCGGGAAAATAATTAATTTAAGAGCACCAAGGAGCAAAAGTAATGTAAGATAATATCAAACGCTGTAAGAACAGAAAATGTTGCCAGATTACATAAGACCTACTGCCGATTGAGAATGCTTCCATGACCTGCTGGAAAAAGGAAGTGGTCGATTATTGAAATGAACAATAAAATCTTTCTTCGACAGAGGTGGAGGAATGCCACCAACTCCTCCAGAGCCACCGCCCCTCCCTGGTTGGCCAGGTCGTAGCCCTGGACATGCTCCTGCACTTCAAGGAGCACATGGTGGTGGACGTGGACAAGGCCAAGGACATCCGGCGCCAGGGCAAAGGCTACAATCGCGAGATCAACCAGGCTATTATCGCCGAGCTGATGACGAGGGGCACCAGGGAAGTTGAGGTCTACCAGCTGGGCTTGCGCAAGATGAACCTCAATCTGCTGGCCGATCTCTTGGAGCAGAAACACTTCACAAGTGGGTATTCAAAACAACAGAAATCTAACCTGTTTTTACGTCTTCCTGCAAAAAAAAAGACCAGGGGTTTACCAAAGAGCACACATCTGTTAAAAAAAAGCAGATAACTCAGTAACAACCGAAAGAGCGAAAAAATGAAGAAATGACTGGCTTTCAAAGATGAGAGTTAAACCCTGAAATGTTAAACTAAGGAAGATTAAGAGAATCGGCTGGGGACTGATCACTCAATTCACCTTTCAGTTTGGGTTGGACTTGAACCCAGAGGTGATAGGTGAGGAAGATTTATGACTTGACCAGCTTTACCGTCCCTCAGAAGTTGGACATAACTCTCTCTGAGAAAATTTGACACAAGCTCCACCCGGAGAGAGTTGAAGGGTGCATCAGGCCCAGTTGACAAGATGTTACTTGGTTTGCTTTGGTTACGATGGCACGGTGTGAAATGTGGAAGATTACAGCTCTACAGTTTTATTTTAAACAGAAGTTTTCATCAAACATTTGATTGTTGAAGGAATTTTCACAGCATTGGGCCTGGGGAAAAGTTAGAAGGGAATGCATGTGGCAAATCCCGTATTTGAAATTAAACTTTGTGTGAAAGTGGGCACTGCTTGGAGGAATGTTTATGACTGTCAAGAGAGACAACAGACCAGTCGGGAGGTTGAAAAGTCTAACACATTTAAGCTGTAAATTTCTTTCTAACAAAGTGAAAACTCCTGCATTTTAAAATTAATGTTATGATTGGCAGTTTGATCCTTTTGGATTTTGCACTGGAGTAATTATTTTGACAAGATGTTACTTCGTTTGTTACTATTATTACAGCATGATGTGGAGTGTGGAAGATTACATCTCGAAAATTTTTCTGTAAACAGAAGTTTTCATCAAATGTTTGATTTTCAGAGGAATTTGTCACAGCATGGGGAAGGGTTAAAAGGGCACATGGCAAATCCCGTCTTTGAAATTAAACTTTGTGTAAGAGTGGGAACTGCTTGAAGGAATATTTATGACCGTCGAGAGAGAACAGACAAGTCAGGAGGTTAGAAAGTCTGAAACACTTAAGCTTTACATTTCATTCTTTGTAACACAGTGAAAAGTGAACACTCATGCACTTATTAATGTTATGACTGGTAGTGGGGGCCCTTTGGATTGTGTACTGGACAAATTATTCTACTGGTATGATATTTCTGCTCTTGTTTAGAAATGATGCACGTCTTTGAGCCGGTGTCCAAGCGGCTCGGACACCACTGGAAGCACCTGTCCGTGGAGCTGGGCATGCCGGGCATTGTGCCCAAGATCGAGTCCAAGTACGTCAGGGTCCGAGAGCAGGCCCTGTACTTCCTGCTGGTGTGGGAAGAGACGGCGGGCATAGGGGCCACCATCAACCGCCTGGTGGAGGGGCTGGAACGATGCGGGATGAAACAGATAGTCTGTGAGTATGAAGCACATTCCTGGATATAATAGTAAACTGAAGAGGATGATTCAAAGAGCACTCCGGAGTGGACTTTGAGAGCAAGTACTGCAACGCTCACTGATGTCTGTATGTAAAACTGAAACCTGACCCAAATTAAAAGGCAAGCCTATGACAGATGTCAACGAATCCCGAACCTCTACCAGAACCTGTAGCTTCTCGAAATCCAGCCAATATATCTGGACATGAGGTACAACCAAGCACTAATCCGTACAAGCACAATCTTTACTAACATCATATCAAAGGGCCCAAAACTCACACACAAAACCTAGGTGAGCCCCTACCTAAAGGGAAGTGTCAGACCAATAATCTGTTGCCCAAAACTCAAGTCTGAGCTCAAACCCAAACGAATGGCCAAACCATAAACCAAGCTCTAACCTAAAACTTCACGGCAAAAACCAACCTGATCTACGTCCAACCACAGAGCCACATCCACCTACCAACTCTTCCCTCACCCCAGAACTTGTTGATCAACTTTACAATACACACCTTGCTGTTAAACATGACTAATATTCTTGCATGTCTTTAATTTCTACTTCAGTGTACGTCAAAAAGGTGATTCAAGGGAAGAATGTGAAGAAAGGAAAGAAGAAAAAGAAAGGATCAGGTAAGGGGACATACACATCTGTCTCATTTAATTCAGACATGTTGAGAAAGTGAGTTCCTTTTAAGAAAGCTGCAAAGAACTTCGATTGACAGGGAGTGTTCGTACACATCAGTTATAAATACAACTTAAACTGACATTGACTTAAAATAGCAGATGTAGATTTCACAACAATCTATTTTGATGAATCAGTGTATTCTGTTCATATACAGACCTTCTGTCATACACACTCGGAAGAGACAAAGGTGTTTCTCTTGTCCTTGTTTTTGAACAGGAAAAAGTCGGGCTTCCACTGGCACCAGAAGGTAACCTATGCTGGGCTTCATTCACCAATGAAGCTGGATCAGATCAATGTGGAATAGTTCTACGGTGTAGAATGGTGCTGTGGCGTAATCTGCTGTCTTAAGGAAGTGTCTTCAACCGGCTGGTCCAAAACAATCATGTGATGGGTCTCAATAACCAACAAAGCTTACCAGGTTCAATGTGGAAATAGTCTCGTGGAAGTTGTCTTGATGCAAACAATCTGCTGCATCTTAAAAAGTATCCTAAAACTTGGCAAGCCCCAAAGGTTACCAATTAAAGTGGGCTTCATTCAAAGTTCAAATGTGAAAGTTCTCTACTGAGTGGAATGCAATGGAACACCCTACGCTGTCTTGCTGGGGCATCTACCGAATGTTCCAGATCCTTTCAGAAACCATTTTCTGGATGTTGGAACGCAACAGGTGGCAGGTAGGAACAAGTGGTGTCTCTAGCCTGTTCCAACCCACCTTTGTAACACGTAATGAGCTGTTTTCGCCTAAGTGTCAGGCATATATGCAAAAGTCGCAATAGAGAAATGTATGTGGCCGATATTGTTAGAAGGCAATACCACAATATCTGGCTGTTCTCAGTTGAAAAACAGCGCGTTCCTAAGCAATCCAAGTTTTGAGATGCTAAATCTTCCGACTTGTGATTCTGTGCACATCAAAGTTTGAATGCCAAGTGAAATGATGATGTGTGTGTTGTTTGGCTGTACAAGCATTGTATCTTCACACAGCACAGAGTGTGCAAAAGATAAACCTGAACAAATAAACTGAACAAATAGCTTGAACTTTTCACTCCCATCAAGTTGGTAGATCAACTACAGTTGTTGACAATTTCTCTTCTGCAGCACGTTGTGGGATATTATACGAAATACTAAAATGTCACAGAAACCGCACAGAAGATTGGCATTACTTTCATGTTTAAGTAACTGTTGCAATTCTTTCCAATTCATTTACCAGCATGTGTTACTACCGAAGATCGTATAGCGCCGTGTAGCGGCGCAAGATGGAGAACTTTAATACAAATACACGTAAAACGTTGTAATCACACTGGCGCCATTTGAGCAATCAATACGCCTGCGCAATGCACATTACTGCGTAGGCGCAGGCGCTGCGGCAGGCACGTGCACCTGGTGAGCCTGCGCCGAAGCATTACCGTAAACCGTGCAGGCGTATCGCTTGCTCAAATGGTGTCCATGGTAATTACACCTTTTGGACAGAGTTATCCATCTTTGGTTACTACACTGGTAAAATTATGTACATACATACACTTGAACATCTCTAGTCTCTTCCATACAGATATGCTATATTCATCTTTCAATCTACACGCTACTTGCAGACAAAACTGTTGATAAAAATTGTCACCAGTGTCCTATACATGCGAGTGTGTTTGGAATATGTGTCACAAACGTAATGTACTCACATACTCAAACGTTTGCAACATTTCAGAATGGTAATTTTCACAGGAAGATTTAGGGGAAAATATGTATTTTTTTATTTGCAATTTTTGAATGATCAACTGTTTTTGTGCATGTGTTATGTTTGTGAAGGTGTTGCTGACATTTTTTCCATTTTTACAGAGTACTATGCATACAAACAATGCATATATGTTTATGTGTGAAAGACGGGCAGTACAATATAATTGTTGACGAAACATGGCAGAGTTCATTTCACTTTATATGTACCTCTAAACGATTATCTTAAATGCAAGCATTCCTTTTGAAGTTATAAATAGTGGTCAATGCAATATGTGAATAGATCTTGACACACATTTGTGCCACAAAACAGATTATCACTACTTAACGAGCAATTTGTCATGTACTACGCATGTACTTTGTATCTGCTTCAGAGATGGTACTACCCTGAACCCATTTTGCCCAGCTAAGTAGTTTCAGGGTACTGATAACTTAATGGTTCTCAGATAACGTTTTCTGTGAGGTTTCTACTCCAAAGGCACAGCTAAAATGGACAAGGTGGGATTTGTTTAGAATGTATCTGCACATGCCTACCCCACAGTTGGGAATTATTAAATCTGCACAGGAGCAAACTAATCCGTTTGAAGTTTAGAAATGATTTACGCACAACCTCCATGCATCTGTCCAATGTGGATTTCCCAACTTATGTCGAGTAAAAGTTGGGACCACAAGTCTAAATCCTACAAAAATTAATTTGTAAATTTCTTTTCACATCATGAAGAGCCGAGGATTTTACATTTAGTTTGACTGAATTTAAGCTGTGAAATGTATGTGTGTAATGGTTCCCTTAACATGGCATTCTTACTTTTGCGCTGCCTTCACCAGGTCAATTCTTTGCATTATTGTAAATTCAGCATTAAAACAGAGCACAATACACTTTTTGAAAATGAAAGATGTCCGGAATGAAGTAATTTTGTCTTGTTATCGAACCAACTTGACCCAGGCTGAGTTACGTGAATCACCCGAGACCATTCTGCTTGCTCAATGAGTTGATTTAATATTCCAGCAACACATGCCCCAAATGAAGTGCGCCCAGGCTCGTTCAGGTGCAGCAATATGCTTGCGCACCTGAGGTCTGCCCCATCAGCACAGCCATATGCTGACTCGCAGGCACGCATGCTTGAGTGGCCTTGCTGAACCGGCTCATACCTTCACTGCATAAGAGACTGCAGAGAGACAGATCCAGCACTTACAAAAATAGGGAGGAGCCAGGCATTTACAAGGGGGGGGGCACCCCAAATGGAGGTGAGCCCGAATATATGCCTCCCTCTGGATCTGCTACTCTGTTGTGCATACATGATTGTCACCCATATTCAAGACATCGTGACATGATGTAAATTGTATTTAACTACTGCATACCAATGCGCATACACTGACTGCTACAAATAACAGGATGCAGATTTTCTTATCTTCCCAGACAAGCAATGACAGTGGTTTTATCTTATAAGCATCAGTATTGTTGGTACGACTGTCCTCCCCCTCAGTAACGCACCACTCAC